GGTTTCGCTGAGCGTGTAGTTTGTATTTTTCGTTGACTACACGTAGGTAACAAGAAGACAAAGATGGAACCATTCCTGGAGGGCATTGAGTCAGAGGTGATTCAAGGATGGCAGGCAAATGTTTGATCATCAGATTTTAAAATGTGTCATGATTTGATTATTATTGTACTTCCGCATTACTCTGAAAATATTTTTAAATGGGTCACGATCCAGAGTCTGTAAATTTAATATTTACAAGTAATTGTCATTTTCAAATGTCAAGCTAAATTTTTATTTAACCCTCGTTTCACCTTAATTCGTGTAATTCCGGGTTATATGGATTGGGGTGTTACATTTTGGTATCAGAGCAAAACGATTTTCGGATTACTGAGTCAATATTTTTTAAAAAACCTGCATCCGCATCCTCCGCGACATCTCTGCCCCGGGAAGGTAATCAACAAGTAAGTTACTGTGGCATAACACACGTACTTAACTCATTGAAAATTTGCTTCCTTTGAGTTGCTAATATCCTCATAGACCCGATTGCAATAAAGTATAAATTGCTTTAGAATATTCTTCAACAATCACAGTCGACATCAGAAGATCAAGAAAGGAACTGTAAACCGGATAAGCACGACATATACGTATGTCATAGTATGCGAATAGCTAAGCGAACGATGTGAATCAACTTCTATCAAGCCAAAGAATACATTGAAGAAAGGACTTTGTCCGACAAGAAGTGAACAGTAGCTGGGCAGTAGCTGGGTACCGTTAGGCGGTACCGTCTGGCGTCGGGAATTTCCTAAAACAATTCAGTTCGTTCCAATTCCAAATCATTCATTATGTATTATGTTTTTTTAAAGATTATTATCATGCAAATCACACCAATTAAAGAAAGCATACCTGGTCGTCCTCGTTCATTCAATTTCAACAATAACATATAACATAGATAAATCACAATTTAATTATAAACAAATAAACCACGTAATCAATCATACGAAACTACGAACGTGAATTTCAAATCTATATACAAAATCTAGCGTTAGATGTGCAAGTTCTGACCTCGATTACTTAGACGAATTAAATGTGGGGTAATTTACAAAATTTTCTAAAAGGGTAAATCTGTCGTTTTCTAAGAGCATGAATAGAGCCTCACAAACCAGATCGAATACGGCATATGTATCCAATCTGAAACGCATTATAGGGGTGAATCTACATACAACCATTAAGATAATTGACTCGTTCGTATACCCTATTGACGTGAAAAGTCGTAGCAAGATGACCGTACAAAACAAGATCAGGAATAGTCACACCAACAGTGAGAGACTAGAAGACAAAGAAAAGGATTAATGTTTACATGATACATTTTGATGTTGGAAATAAATACTCTTCTGAAATGCACTGGTCATGCAGCTTAGAACGATATTTATAACTGACACATAATGTACATGGACAATATTATTTCAACTTGGAAATATTACAGATGCAACTCTAAGTCCAATCTTCCAGGATTTGCAAACTCATCATAACTAGCACCTGGGAAAGAATTAGCAAACTCTAGCTTGTCCAAAAGCTCATCAACAAAGAAAGAAGAAATAAAAAGTTTCCTCTGATTCAAATCCATGAAGTTCTGCCTCACCGCATCATCTAGAAACTTGATTAGGTTATTGAAATAACCGTCGATGTTCAAAAGACCAATAGGTTTACTGTGTAACCCTTCGGATGCCCATGAGATCAAAGTGAATAAACCCTACATAGTGTCAATTCCTCCAAGAAGTACAATGAATGCTTCCACAATATGATTCATCTCAAAATTTTTATAGTAATTGCTGGAGACGGTGTACTCCGCACCATATGTTGGTCCATAGACCCCTCGTGTTGCTATATACCCTGGTATGAAACCTCTGACTCTACCACCATTATTATAGACTGTTCAAGCTACAGCTCCTTGAAGGCCAACGTTGCCTCCTCCGTAGGTAAGCCTAATTTTTCGCCTTACCAACTCCCGTCCTAGATCAACCGCTGTAGTCATGAACCTTGGGTTGCTACCAAGAGCATGACTACCAAGTAGACCAACGAATCTTATAGTATTAGGAAGAGCTCGAGAAGTTCCTTCCATAATGTGAGAATGTGAGACGCTCATGCCACGATTCGATATATATAGACTCTGAAACTGGACCATTTATGGAAAAGTATTTATCACCAGCCTAAAAACGTACAGGAAAGTGGATTTGTTCTAGACAAGAACGTACTCGCCAATACTACAGTTTGCTGACGACATGACGTATTGAGACTCACAAATAGTTAGGCTCATTGTTCTGAAATACATTCAAATCCGAGATGAAAAGTCAAAATGACTATTTACCTATGACAATGACCCCTTGAGTAACTTCTAAAGAGTGAAACATTAAAAGGGTGAAAACCTACGATTTGCCACAATAATTCGCAAACACTATATTCGTATCTTGTGACTTATATCCTTGAAATATTCAAACTTGCTATGTTAATTACACACTTAAAGCATCTCACTTGATCAAACTTGAAAAGATTGAATTCCATATTTTTTTAAAAATCAAATCATTGAGAACTTGTTTTAACTCATGATTCTCCATCAAACCAAAAATATGTTTTATGATACTGATCTTAAAAAAAAATCAAAATCACGAATGTGTCTGTAGAATCCCAATCATATTAGAATATGACTATGTGTATAACTTTTCATGTTTTTGATTATAAGTAATTTAACTATTGTGTTACGAATATTAATGATATGACGAATACACTAATATTATAATTTTCGAGCACGAAACTCTATCATAATTATTGAGAAAGTCTGAAATTCCAAGGTAGTTCTGGAATCATCAATCAGAAAATCAATATTCCAGAATGACTACGTATCATCTTGATAAGGCAAACAGTGACAAAATAGCAAGTGTTATCAAAACATTCATCCAATCATTACAATGTGATAAAACATATATTATTGTTATATATAAGTGTGATATATGTGTTAACTATTACAAACAAGCTTTAATCAGCTTATTGACATTACGTTAGTCAGAACAACTCTATTAAGGATCGCTAACGAGAGTTCAAGTTTTGAAAGTATAATTACATATTCATCTAGAAAATCTAATAATGATGACTATGGTAATAGTCATTTCTCAAAATACCATTATGTAAAAGAAAACGTCAAACCTAGAAACAATTCGTTCCAGCTTGTAGACAAAGAAGCCTAATTTGTGAAACTAACATTCCAGACAAAGTCGTCTGAGAATGATTCTAGAAGAAATTCAAAAAGAAAATTTTGTAAATTACCCCACATTCAAGAAACGCAATCCATACAAGAACTCTTGGAAAACTCCTACAACGCGATAATAGCAAGTCTAAGAAAATATTCGACGCAAGTCTTCATAAAAGAAATCCAAACACGTTACATCTATCATCTGCGTATATCTTCTCTAAAGAGAACATGTCATAAGTATCACACTCAACAAAACAAAGAGCAAACAACTTTTCAAAATTTGTGTTTTACAAAAACAATGGATATTCATTATTTTGTACATCATCATTTTAAACGATTTCACCTAAGGAAATTTCGGGGACAAAATTTCTTTAAGGGGGGAAGAAATGTAACGCCACAAAATATGGCCTAAAATTTATTATAAAACAAAAGTAAATTCTGTCCAATAAGAAAAAATTATACGTTTGACCAAAAATAAATGGATTTTTCAAAAAAAAAATTATACGTTTGACCAAAAATTATACGTTTGACCAAAAATTATACGTTTGACCAAAAATAAATGACCTAAAATTCAAACAGATAAACTATTCCTTCCGGAACAAAGATTTCATCCCAAACCTACATTCATTCCCCTTCAATCTCCAGGATTCCTAATCACTCCTAACAATTATACTCATCCCATCAACCCCATCCCACACATCACCTTGTTCCCAACCCACTCAACACACTCCCACCTTCCTCTCTCATCATTTTTTGCCTATGGTGATGGTGGGGTGTGTGAGATGACCCAAAGGGCATCTCTGATTTTGAATAAAAGGAGACCACCCTTCCTCACTCATTCACACTCCCACACTTAGCAAAAATCCCTGCTGATGGGTGTATTTCACCCATGACCGGTCAAGGGTCAGAACCAGATAGTTGACCGGTCTAAGAGGTCAAACTTGAAAGAAAGATCTGAATCGTCAGCAGCGGGATGACTGGTTGACCAAAAAGTTGACTGGTATACTTCGGATAGTATACCGGTCAAACTATGCAGGCGTCTAATTCATCCTTTGAAGTTATCAAATCAACCGGTGTAGTTTTTAGAGATTGGAAAGTGTCGGCAAAGAGAGTCCAAAACGACTTGGACTGTAGTGGTTGGCATTGTTGGGGAATCAATGGAGATGCCGAAGGAATATTTCCAAACCAGAACGCGACAAGGGAAGTGATTCCCCTCACAAGGCAACAGGGCAGCTCGAGGATGAAACCAGTCACCTCGCACCACATCAGCAGCGTGCCCCCACGTGGGCGCACGTGGTCCTGTCCCCCAGCTTAGTATATATACCTCTTGTAACCCTCGAAGAAGGGTATCCGAATTCATTCTCTCTAAACCCCCTTGTAAAAGCACCCGTGCATTCTCTGTTATAATACAAATCGGGCTACAGGTGTTCCACCTAAAGTCCTACCGGTCATTTTGCGTGTTTTAACCTTTCTTACTTTACCAAATCAAGCAAACTATTCTAGACCCGGTCTAGTATAGTTTGACCGGTCAAGTAATTTACACCATCATTTTTGGCGCCGACCGTGGGACCGTTAAGGTTTCTTCTCTTCTAAACACAAACATACCCACAAAAACACCACTCAAAATGTCTTCCAGCCAGCAAATCAACGCTGCCTCCACTCAGGTGCAGGCCATCACTGAAGGTACCAGCATCCCCATGGTTGCTACCCTGCCAGCCGTTTCTACTCCAGTTTTGCCGTTGGGTCTAAGCTCGGTTCCAACGCCCAGCATGGTCAGCCCATTCACGACCCCAGTCCCTTCCGCTGGGCCAAGGGTCACATTCCCACAAGCATGACTCAGTTCATGAATGACCCAGCCAACCTACAGGCCATCCAGGGCTTTGGCCAGGTCATGGCCATGTGCCAACAGAATGGGGGGATGCCTTTCCTTCCTGGCATGTTTCCATTCGCCCTTCCAGGCACTGGAACCATGCCCCTGCAAGCTCCGATGGCGGTGTCACCCTTCCAGACGCCGATGCCGCAGCCTTCACCTTTTCAGCCGCAGCTGGTCAGCACCGTAGCCCCTGTCAACTTGACAGGCGCGCTTAACGTTGCAGGGCCGTCGCGTCCCCCGCAAGGTACGAATCCGCAGATCACTCCTGATGGTCACTGCGTCTCAGTTGAAAGCGGAGACGGCGAGTGGGACATTCCAAGGGCCCACAAGAAGAAGAAGGGAAAAACTATCCGCCCAGCAACTTCCCGAAACTCCGCCTTCGAAAGGCTGGGGGACAGGGAAGAGGGCCGGAGAAAGTCAGCCAAGCTAAGGCTGGGGCAAAGCATTGCTCACGTCAGCGCGTTCGCCCGGTTAGGCGAGGGGAGGGAGGCCGAGCCTGCCCGTACCCTGTGCTCCCGGTCTAACCGGCAGGAGCCAGCCAGGACGAGGGCCTCTCGTCAGGAAGAGGAAGCGGAAAGCCAGCCTAGGGTACCGGTGGCTAACCGGTTAACCGTCCCGAATGACCGCATCCAACTGATGGAGGCAAAGTTGGAAAGGCTGGAAAAGAAGGTTGGGGAAAACAGTGACCGGGACAAACCCCATGCTGGGTCCCCGTTCACCACACGGGTACATCTGACACCTTTCCCGCGAAAGGTCAAGATCGACGCCCCTAGGTTCACCGGGAAGGAGGATCCAGAAATCCACTTGGATTCTTTCAATAAGAGTGCAACCATGAACGGTTGCACAGACGAAGAAAAGTGTCTGCTTTTCTTCCAAACCCTGCGGAATCGGGCTACTGAATGGTTCAACAAACTTCGCCCGGGAAGTATTGACTCATTCGGTGACTTGGCCTCAAAATTCAAGGCCAAGTTCTAGGAGAACTGTACTAAGAGGAAGAAATTCACCTATCTTAGTACAGCCGGGCAGAGGGAATCTGAGAACCTCACTCAATTCCTTACCCGGTGGAAGGAAGAGGTAGACAAAGTGGAGAAGATGGACAACAAGACAGTGTTGTCCCTCCTCTTGAATGGTTTACGTGCCGGGGAATTATACAAGGAATTCTGCCGGAAACCCCCAGCAACGTATCAAGAGGCCTATCACACTGCATGGGAGTTTGCTGAGGCTGAAACCCAACTCCGGGGGAAGAAGGAAGCCGAGCATGGCTTAAAGCCCAAACCGGTGCAAGTCAAGAAGGAAGAAGCACCGGTTCCCAGCCGGCCAAGGCACCACTATGACCCGGTAGTCCGTGGTCAATACAGAAGAGTGCCAGGAGGTAAGGAAAGCGCCGGCTTCCTTCCCGGTCAATCCTCCGGAAAACCCTACCGGTCAAGCAGGACGGCAGTGGTCGGGCACCTATTGTTCGTACCACCGGTCAGATTCCCATAACACTTCCGAATGCAAAAGTGTCAAGGGAGTCATCCGGCAAATGATAGACAGCGGGGAACTGGGCAAGGACTACTTGCAGAAAGCCCAGGAGAAGAGTCATCAATGGGTTAGGCCAGCGGCCTAGGGGAATGACCGGGACAATGACCGTCGAAGGAATAACCGGCAAAGGGAGCAGCAGCCGGCCCCTGAAAAAGAACACATCGGCATGATATTTGGCGGACCTGAAGGCGGAGATTCAGCCGCCCAGCGGAAGAACTGGGTCCGCAGCATTTACGTCGGTGAGGTAAGTGCTGAACCACCCAGGCGTAAGCATACCAGGAGGGAGCCGATCGTCTTCACTGACCGGGACCTCCCTCCTACCAGTGAAGATCACAATGATCCATTGGTCATCACCATGGACATTAATGGGGTGGATGTCGCCCGGGTACTTGTTGACACTGGCAGCAGTGTCAACATCTTATACCTAGAGACTTTCCAAAAATTCAGGTCGTGTCGGACACAACTTGAACCCCTCAAAACCCCTCTCTCAGGCTTCACGGGAGACACCGTTGAAGCTGAAGGATCCATAGTCCTACCGGTCGAACTAGGATCGGGCGAAAAGGCCGTGTGGAAGAGAATGCGGTTCATAGTTGTGGACATCAAATGCGTCCACAACGCGATCCTTGGAAGGCCGGGCATCAACAAGGTTGGGGCGGTGATTTCCATGCCTCACCTGTGCATTAAATTCCCCACTCCGGGCGGTGTGCGAGAAGTGAGGGGCGACCAGAGAAACGCCCGGGAGTGCTATGCCCCGGCAGTGAAGAAGACGACCAAGGGGGTCAACGTCATCTCCCAGGAAATCACCAAGGGAGAGACCCGGGAGAAATTGGAGCCTGAAGCGGAAAAGGTGGAGATTGAACTTCACCCGGGTGATTCATCAAGGATGGTCAGAATTGGGGCAAACCTCCCCGAAGATCTCAAGGCAGAGATTACATGGGTGCTCCAAGAATACACGGGCATATTTGCATGGAGAGTGGCAGATATGCCCGGAATTGACTGCTCAATCATCTGTCACCGGCTGGCAGTGAGGGATGGAAGTCGACCGGTACGCCAGAAGAAAAGGTACCTGGCCAGTGACCGGCGAGACTTCGTCAAGAAGGAGGTGAAGGACCTCTTCAGTGTCGGTCACATCCGGGAGGTGAAGTACCCGGATTGGCTGGCCAATGTTGTCCTTGCTCCCAAGGGCGACACGTGGAGAATGTGTGTGGATTACACGGACTTAAACAAGGCTTGTCCGATGGGTTCATACCCCCTCCCCGGTCCTGATCAAATGGTGGACGAAACTGCGGGGTGCGAACTCCTAAGTTTCATGGAAGCCTTCAAGGGATACCACCAAATCTACATGGCCAAGGAAGATGGCGTTTGGCTTGAAGAACTCTGGGGCCACTTACCCGCGCATGGTGAACAAACTCTTCAAGCCGCTGCTGGGAAAGACCATGGAGGCATACGTCGACGACATGCTAATCAAGAGCCAGGTATCACTCGATCACCTGGCTGATATGCGTGCCACATTTGATATCATGGCAAGATACAACCTCCGGTTGAATCCTAAGAAATGTGTCTTCGATCGCGGTTCGTACCGGGAAGTTCTTGGGATTCATGGTGACCAAGAGAGGAATAGAGCCCAACCCAAAAAAAATCCGGGCTATCACTAAAATGCAGGCCCCCACATCTGTGAGGGATGTCCAAAAGTTGACCGGTCGTCTAGCGGCCCTCAGCCGGTTCCTTTCCCGGTCAGCTGAGAGATCCCTCCCCTTCTTCAAAGTCCTGAGGAAGGCCAACACATTTGCATGGGACGAAGACTGCCAGAGGGCATTTGAGGGGCTAAAAGAGTACCTAGTGTCAGATATTGTATTGTCTAAACCCGAACTGGGTGAAACTCTATATCTGTACCTGGGAATTTTCCCAAATGCTGTAAGCTCCGTTTTAATAAGAGATGATGGGGCACAAAAGCCCATTTATTATGTGAGCAAAGCACTAAACGGAGTAGAAAGTAGATACACGGCGATGGAAAAGACAGCCTACGCGCTTTTCATCTCCGCAAAAAAGTTAACATCTTACTTCCAAGCTCACCCGGTAGAAGTCTTGACTGAACAACCGCTGGGTGCAGTGTTGCGAAATTCAACATCCTCCGGAAGGATGGTGAAGTGGGCGATGATGTTAACTCAATTCAACATTGAATACCGACCGAGATCAGCAATCAAAGGGCAAGCCCTTGCGGACTTCCTTGTGGAAATGACCGGTATAACTCCAGATGCACCAATCGACAAGCCTACCGAGCACTGGTGGGAGATGGCAGTAGATGGGGCATCCGGTCCTAAAGGGTACGGGGGTGGTATAGTGTTTACCACCCCAGAAGGGTTCAAGATCTACCATGCAATCGTCTTCAACTTCAAGCTGACGAATAATGAAGCAGAATATGAAGCTCTAGCTGGAGGGCTCAGACTTGCCCAGGCCCTGAAAATCAGCCGGGTCAGTATCAAATCTGATTCCAGTTTGATCGTTGGGCAAGTGACCGGTAACATGGAAGCCAAGGGGGAATGGCACAGTACAAAGACTTGGTACTTGCCTTGCTGAAAGGCTTCGAGGAAGTCAAGATCGCCCAGATTCCCAGGGCGGAAAATGCAGATGCAGACATTCTCTCCAAATTGACGCAGTACGCTCCCGAGCATGTTTCAAAACTTGCCCGGGTGGAAATCCTAGACCATGCCAGCATCGAAAAATTGGAAGTAGCCGCCATAACAAAAGCAGACCAACCTGACCGGTCAAACTTGGTCGGGGTGGACGACCACAGGATGTATGATCTGATGGAATACCTGATGGACGGAACCTTGCCGGAACAAGATGATCGGGCAAGAAAAGTGAAGCTCAGGGCACCCCGGTTCCAAGTCCTTGACGGAAAGCTGTACAAGACGGCGTTCGGGGGACCCCTCCTGAGGTGCCTAACCAACCGGGAGGCTGAGCGAGTCATAGCAGAAGTCCATGAAGGTGTATGCGCGGCGCATCATATGTCCTGTACTCTTTCCCAGCGCATTATCTTGTTGGGGTATTACTAGCCAACAATTGTCCAGGACTGTGACAGGTACGTTCAGAAGTGCAGAACATGCCAAGTGTTCGACAAATACCCCGGTAGGCTGGAAACCTACTACCACCCCGTGTCAAATGTCATCCCATTCGCTAGGTTCGGGGTGGATATCATTGGAGCATTCCCAATTGCCCAGGGAAGGAAGAAGTTCGTAATCGTGGCCATCGATTACTTCACCAAGTGGATTGAAGCCGAAGCATTGGCCAACATTACCACGCAACAATCCAAGAAGTTCATTTGGAAGAACATCATCACAAGGTTTGGGGCTCCCATGAACCTAATCACCGACAACTGCCCGCAATTCCAAAATCCAAGATTCACCGAGTACTTGGAGGGCTTCGGAATCAAGCACAATCGCTCTTCGGTGGCGTACCCCAGGGAAATGGCCAGGTGGAAAATGCCAACAGGACTATTGTGGATGGTCTGAAGAAGAGGCTGGGAAAAGCAGGAAACAAGTGGCTGGAAGAGCTCCCGCACATCATATGGGCGTTCCGAGTAACACCCAGGAGGGCTCATGGGGAAACTCCATTCTCCCTAACCTATGGGTGTGAAGCAAGGATGCCCATCGAAGCCGAATTCCCAACGTTCCGGGAATCAAATTATCAGCCCCAGCAAAATGAAGAGGACCATTTGGCCGAGCTCAACTTGGTCGAAGAGCGAAGAATGACCGGAGAGGTAAAAATGAGTACATACCAACAAGTGGTGAAGAAGTACCATGACAACAAGGTTGGGCCGCGTTACTTCCAAGTCGGTGATGAAGTCCTACGAAGAAGGGAGGCTAGTAGACCGGGAGACGGAGGAAAGCTGGCCAAGAACTGGGAAGGACCTTACCGGGTGAGAGCTATCATTCGCCCGGGAACCTACCGGTTAGAAACTCTAGATGGTGTACCGGTAGAAAGAACTTGGAACTCCCATCATCTTCGCAAATTCTACAAGTGATTATAATACTAGACAAGGCCTATTTCTATTATCAATCAAACTGAGGAAGTTTAATACTCTACATGGTAGCAGCAGAATTGATAGGTCGAACCTATCCTAGGAGGGCTTCCCGGGTTGATCGGATCCACTTGGATAAGCCAACTGAGACACAGGCCCGGACATGGCATGCTGGTTACAACACCGGTCTTGCTCAGTATAATAGAAAAAATATTAAAACCCAGAAGAGGGGCCCGGAAGAGGGTATGCCTGCAAGAAGGCTGGACCTGGAAGAAGGTTCGAACCATACTTACACGGGCCCATGACGTTTGACCGGTATCGGGGAATCAGCCGGTACCGTCAAATTGATTGGAGACTAAAAGATGCCCATTAAAAGAAATAGAAGGGGATCGTCCACCGTGGCGCATCCCTTTTACCCCTTCTTAGGGAAGACTTGAACGGGGGGGTGAGCTAAGGCCTTCCCGGGATGGTAGAAATCAAAGGGCCATTAAAAGACTTAATCACCCAAAAGAGGGGGCCCTGGAAGAAGGGTGCATTTGAGCCTTGGAGAAGGTTCGAAACCATTCGACATGGTTAAATCTCCAGTATTCTTACCGGTTAAGGGTACTTCAAGAAATAACTAGGTTACAGGTGCTTCCATCTACAACCTACCTGTTACAAAAAAAAAGAATACCCCGGTTGGGTATTGATACAGCGGAACTTCGGAAGTTCTTCAAGGCAAAGCAGTTGACCGGTCGTACCGTGAGGTGGGAACGTACCGGTCATACTCTACTTCATCGAACGAAGGTATCCAAAAGCCAAAGGGAAGTTCAGCCGGTCAAACTTTTTTAAGTTGACCACCATGATGAAGACATTCAAAAAGCAAAAGTTGAAGTTCAACCGGTTCACTGGAGTTCAACCGGGTTGGAATTAGCGTATTCAGAAACAAGCCAAGAAAGCGAAAATTAAAGTTTGACTGGTCAAAGTTACTCGAGCTGATCCTTCAGATAAAGTGATCAAAGAGAATGTTAAATGATCACATATTGCATCGGGCATCCCCGGGAAAATTCAAAGATTTTAAGTTTACAAAATATGACCGGGCGCAGCCGGGGAGAATTCACTGCAAGGGGAAAGGGGGTTCAGGCTCTTCTTCGGGGATGGGGGCCAGACCATAGGCTTCAGCAGAAAAAGCCGGGTCGCGTTCAGTCAGGACTGCATGTGTAGCCTCCCGGTCTCTTTTCTGCCCAGACATGAATCCGTAGGAGCCTATCTGCGTGATCATCTCCTTTCCCTGCTCCTCCCGGTAGATAAATTTGAAGGCCTCCATCGTCGTCTCCGGAGTAGAAGTGATCACCCGAGTCGTCCCCTCCAAGTTCTCCCCCACCCATTGCTTGGCCCTGCCGGGGAACACTCTCTCCTTCAGCTCCAAATCCTCCATCAGCTTGAGGTTTTCCTCCTTCAGACGGAGGATCTCGGCATCCGCTTCCCCGGCCATCCTGGCGAGATTGGCCAACTCATCGAGCTGGCGCCCGGTCAGCTCTTGGAGCTCCCGGTTGTGGGCCTCAGTCCTCTTCAGCTTCTCCTCCAGCTGGGCCGACCGGGAAGGGGAGTCCTCGGTGAGCTGCTCCAGGATTTCCGGCCCAACCTCGCCCATCTGCAAATTGAAGGTCAGACCGGTTAGCCAAAACAAGCAAGCAGTATGTTAAAAGGGACGCCGGGAGAATGCTACCTCTTTCAGCTTGAGGGTCATCTTGACCCATAGCTCTTCCATTGATTCTTTGACCGGGGAATGTTCCCCTCTTCTCTTCTTGGAGGATGGGTGGGTGGTGGCCGCGTGCTTCACCCTCTTCTTTCCCTTTCCCTTGTTGGGAGAAGCGTTCACCGGTGCATCCTCTGACGGGTCTATCCCCCCGGTCTGAGGGTCTTCCTCATTGTCATGGATCACAACCGTCTCCGGTTGCACCGGCTTGTTTTTGGCAGCAGCGGAGGAAGAACCACCGGTTGTCTTCGGCATGTTGAACGCCCTGAAATTCATGTCTACAAAAACAGGCAGAAAACTTGTAAGTATTCAAACTATGACCGGTCTAATCAGAAAGAAAGAAAGGAAGGAAATAAATGGATACCTGGGTGACTTGGGCCTCCAGCCTCCGCAGTGTTGCCCGGGGAGGGTCCCCCGCGCCCCGCTGCTTCATGGGCCTGGGAGGTACCCTCGTCACCCGGTTGGACGCGCCAGACCCAACCCCCATAGTGGTACATCTGACCGGTGTTGGGGTCCCCTTTGAGAAGCTGTTCTCGGCTCTCCTCCAGATCCGGAGTGGTCGGCGGCTCAGTGAACTGGTGCTTGAGGAGATGGTCACTCCACTTCAAACCGGCCAGAGGAGTGACAGAAGGAGGAAATTTTATGAAGACAAATTTTTCCTTCCATGAGCGGTTGCTTTGTGGAAGCTCAAAGATAAATTTGCGATTGTTCCGTCCCTTGAAGTAGACGAAACCTTCGCAACCCGGTTTACCGGGACGAACCTCGAACATGTAGAGGAAAAGACGAAGGGAGGGGTCGATGCGGAGATGGGTGCAAATGTTTGCAAAAGAGTTAAGCAACCGGTGGGCATTGGGTGTGATCTGCCCGGGAAGGATCCTGAAGCAATGGCACAACTCGACCAAGAGAGGGCGGAGGGGAAAAACGGTACCGCTTTCTAAAGAAGCAATATGAAAACCTATTCTATCCTCCCGGTGAGGTTCTATGATGTTGGGCCAGTTCCCGTCGTATTCAAGAACATAGCCCACTGGGAGATTCCTACGGGCCTTATTTAGAGCTATTTTGGAAACATGGGGGTAGATGTCTATAACAAAGGAAGTAGGTAGGGGAGAATAACCGGCAGCGTCCAACCTCTCCACCCACTGATCCCGCGTCTCATTATCCGGGTCATAGGGGGCCGGTTCGTCGCTGACCGGCTCCTCCATCCCCGCAAAAATATGACCGGGCATCTGATTTACCGGCCGCGGCTCAGGGATGCGAGGGTTTGGAATCGACCAGGGCTGGGGAATGGGAGAAGACGACCCGGTCGAAGAAGAAGAAGAAAAGGACTCCTCGGATGCGCGGGCATCCGAGGCAGAAATATCTTGACTATCAGAAGAAGACATTGACCGGAAAGAAAAGCGAAGAATAAAAGGGAAAACTAAGGAAAAAAGAGGAGAGGCTTACTTGATTCGGAGGGCTGGAAGGCGAGAGAGAGGAAGCTGACCAGTAGAAGCTCTGGAAACGAGTTACGAAAAGTAAGAAATGAAGAGGGGTGGAGCTCCTTATATAGGCGAGGAGAATTTGAAAAGGGGTGACGTGGCCCATGCAGAGCGCGCCGCGTCAGGCGGCGCAATGATGACCTGCGGGCAGACGAAATGACGGGACTGCTAGCCGACTGTTGCAATGGTTGGTGTGCGACACGTGGCAAAATTCAAAGTTTGAAATTCAAATTTTGAAATTTCGGGCGGGAAAAGCCAGAGTTGGAATTTAAAAGTTTTGTTTTAGACATGTTACTTCCCTCTTATGACAAAATTGCATAACCGAGAAGTGGAGGGCTTATTGATGGGTGTATTTCACCCATGACCGGTCAAGGGTCAGAACCAGATAGTTGACCGGTCAAAGAGGTCAAACTTGAAAGAAAGATCTGAATCGTCAGCAGAGGGATGACCGGTTGACCAAAAAGTTGACCGGTATACTTCGGATAGTATACCGGTCAAACTATGTCGGCGTCTAATTCCTCCTTTGAAGTTAGCAAATCCAACCGTCAAGAATCAACCGGTGCAGTTTTTAGAGATTGGAAAGTGTCGGCAAAGAGAGTCCAAAACGACTTGGACTGTAGTGGTTGGCATTGCTGGGGAATCAATGGAGATGCCGAAGGAATATTTCCAAACCAGAACGCGACAAGGGAAGTGATTCCCCTCACAAGGCGACAGGGCAGCTCGAGGACGAAACCAGTCACCTCGCACCACATCAGCAGCGTGCCCCCACGTGGTCCTGTCCCCCAGCTTAGTATATATACCTCTTGTAATCCTCGAAGAAGGGGATCCGAATTCATTTTCTCTAAACCCCCTTGTAAAAACACCCGTGCATTCTCTGTTATAATACAAATCGGGCTACAGGTGTTCCACTTAAAGTCCTACCGGTCATTTTGCGTGTTTTTATCTTTCTTACTTTACCAAATCAAGCAAACTATTCTAGACCCGGTCTAGTATAGTTTGACCGGTCAAGTAATTTACATAACTTTGGTCATCTTCATCCTCTAGCTTCATCCACCATTAATGGAGGCTTGAAGAGCTTTCACTAGGAAAGAGCTCTCAATGGAGGCGGGGTTTCTCTCTCTAGAGCCTGCGATGAACAGTGTCCCGCAGGAGGCTTTCTCGCCGTTTCTCCATCAATTTGAGAGCTATGCTTGAGATTTTTGGATCTCAGGGTGCGCCTACAGCGGGTGAATCCTTTATTGAGGTTATTTTGCTATTTTTGGGATTGGATTTTGGGAGAACCGAAGGTCAACGCTTCGCGATTACTGTTCATCGACGAACTAAATTGAAGATTTATGGCGTCTGAAGCGAAATTGATGGATTCTGTTCAAGGATTATGAATGAAACTCTCTGTTAATCCAAGGTATAAAGCTGTAGTACATACCCATTCGATTTTCATGTTATTTGAAGAACATTGGATATACGGGTTCACTGTTCATCTACGAAGATGGACTACGAATTGTATCTGGTTTAGGATTGTTTTTGGGTCCAATTTCTATGGCTTTTGGTGTTGTGATGACATAATGACTCAACGATTGGTTTTGCTACTGGGTTCAGACCTCGTGATGATCATCTGTGTTGTGGTTTCGTGTTTTGTTTTCTGTGTTCTTGGTATGGTGGTACTGGAGCTCCTATTTGCTTGGCCTGTTCTTTCCATTACTGGGTTGAACCCTGGTCCTACGCTTGGGACTATGGGACATATACAATGAGGACAGAATTGCCTGGAGCAGGCCTTGGTCTTTTACCAGGGGCATGCTGTTTTGGGATCTTTGTACGTGGTTTATTATGGTTTTATGTTGAGGATTTCCTTGTGCTTTGGAAAACTATATATTGGACCTTGTGGAGCTGTGGAACTGCACTGCAAATACCCCAATCTGCCCAGAGCAATTGGGAGACTTTGGGCAGTGTTTGGGCTGGTTTTGGAGAGCTTTTTGCTGTGATTGGGCAGTGTTCCTTGCTGTGTTTTGGGCTTTGTGTGATGTACAACTGTTTTTGCTGGGCCTTTTTGGGAATTTGGTAAGGTTTGGAAGCTTCAAGCTGTGATGTGGAGGGTGAATTCTTGGCAAGCCTGTTATGGTCTCTGCCCAGACTTTCTGCCATAGAAGACTTCTTTCTGCTACTGTTTTGAAGGCCACTGGACTGGACTTGCTTCTGCCCAACCTTTGCTGACCTTTTCTGATTATCTCCACTAGAAATTGGAGTCCAAATGGCATTGTGGCGCTGCCAGGTTGGGCTCCAAGGGGCTGTTTTCAATGCTTAAACAATGCCATGAACTTGAATCTGCTACCATGGACTTGGATTTGCTGGTCTGCACCAGATGCTGATTCTGGAAGTGTGAATTAGGCTGCATGTGGGCTGAATTGGAGCTGAATCTCTTGGGCATGATGGTCTAATTGGTTAGCTTCTGTATTTCTTCCTGATGCCCCTGGTTTTGCCTCACATTTGTTGAGGTAATACCAACTGATTTGGATGAGTTTCTCACGTGGGTTTGCCTCATGATGGAGGTAATACCATTTCGATTGGGGTTGAGTTTTATGTTGTATTTTGCCTCAATGGTCCTGCTGGCAGGCTGCCTAAGCTCTTTCTCATCCTTTCGGTTGGGGTTTTTGGAGGAGCCTGGGTTATCTCGGCCAACAAGTGCATCTTGTGGCTGATTATGCTTTTTCTCGGGTTTTGTTTTCGCTGGGAGTTTGTTTTCGCTGGATCCTGCCTATCTACGTCTTGCTTCTGAACTCAAACTGAGGGCAATTGTGGATGAAGGCTTACGGGACAACCTAGTGAACTTGCGCCTAGTCTTTATGGGGACGCTTGCCAAATACCTTGGGGGAACTCTGACCATAGACATAGGGAGGGGTTTGTATGGCAGAGTGTGTGTCTCTCAGATCACTTTGGAGGTTAAGTTGTCTGCCTTGACGAGGGTGGACAACTTCTGGCACTCGGGGACGGGCCCCTTGGCATGCCGGTGGAAAGCATCAACCTCGTTGATGGATGATGGTGACTATGGTAAGATTAACATTTCACTCGCCTCTTTTGGATGCATGACATTGAATGAAGAACTTTGAAGCTGGTTTTGAATCTTGTTTGAGCGTTTTTTCGTACTGGATCCTTGGGGAGGGAGTATATATGGGTGGTCTGTGCTGATACCCCCAATATATGCTCCCTCCATGCTCTTGTTTTGCCTACCGTACTATTGCCAGGATGATGCATGGTACTCGTAGCTGGAAGCGGATTGCACAAGAGCCGGAACATGGTCCACTATGATGAAGTGGGACCACATTGATGTTTTAGTGATGATTATGTATTTTGTATGGCCTGCGTGCCAAGTTTATGTATGTTGATTGTTGTATTATCTTTGGCTTTGTTTTTGATGTTTGTTGTCTTATTTATGCATGGAACCATTCTTATGGTTCGGCATTTGACATTGATGTACTGTTCTGAATTGGGGTAATAATAATTTACATTTTACCCTTGAAGAGCTTTCACTAGGTAAGTGGTTATGTTCCATTCCTATCGTTATTATACCCATTTTAATGCTCTTTTCATGCCATAAACCCCTGCAATATCAAGGTTCGAAGAGAAGACCTCAAGACAAGGAAAGCTAGATGTAGATAGTGACGTCCGTTCGTTGAACGTACGTGAGGTGTTAAGATCATTGTTTCCCCTACGAACTCTAAGGTCTGTACCCCAGACTCGTTCCGACGTTAGATTCCTTAGAATCATTCATAATACATGATTTAATATACCTTCATGTCATTTTATGTTAGTCTTACCAATAGTCTTGATAAAACACTCAACTTGATACCCATGAATCGTCGGTAATGAAGAATGCCCAAAATGTTTGCCAAAAATGTTCTTACACAACTTAGAGATTCAAAGTAGAGTATATACATTCAATATATAAATTTTTGGAGCCATCCCGTAGCTTAAAACAAACCCAAAAACCCAAAGGAACTGTCAGGGGATCGATCCCCGGCGTTGGATCGATCACCCGGTGACAGAATTGAGCCCCAGAACCCGTTTTTAAGGTTCGGGGGATCGATCCAAGCCTCTGGATCGATTCTTTGGGGTAAACTTCACTAAAACGCAGATTTTTAAGATTCGGGGGATCGATCACCCGACGTTCTGACTTAGATTTGAACCGTTTTTCGATGTCGTATGGATGATGAATCTTTGGTATTTGTTTGATTGATTTATATCCATATTTTAACTTCCGAAAATACTAAAAATCAATGTTTTTGACTAGGAAAACTCTAATACCAAAAATTGAGTCGATCACCCCTTCGGAGATCGATCACCTGATGTTCCAACTCAAATTTAAGCCGTTTTAATATTGTATGGATGATAAATGTTTGGTATTAGTTTGATTATCTTATAACCATATTTTGACTTCTAAAAGTACTAAATATGAATGTTATGGACTAAAATAACTCTATGTCAAATTATATTTTCTATTAAGTGTTATCAACCAAACGACATTATCGGACAAGTTCGACTAGATGAATTATAGTACTATATTATGTAGTTTAAACTTGAGTTCCTCACATGATCCAATCCATGAGCATGATTAAATTATGTATAATTATTAAAAAGGATATTATGGACGATGTTATGTTGGGAACTTTATGGTAAAACTTTATATGCTCGAATCTGTAAAAATGATGATTTTGATGGCGACACTAATAACCAAAAGGGTATTTTGGATTGTTTAAATCTAGATTAATTCTAGTGGTAAATTATGGATTTGAGTGTATAGATGTGGGCGATATTAGGAGTTGAGTATGTACGTACATAAGGTCCTAGAACCGGTCAGGCGCCCGGGGATCACTCAACCCGTGCGTCCGGAACCAGAAGAGTATTTATACCCACACTGGGAAAGGCCACGGAACAAATTCTAAACCTGAAGAGAAGGGCGCTCGGACCCAGACAGGGGAAATCTTATTGAGTCCTTTCTCTACGGAGATTGACTCCATGGTATGGCGAGGATTAAAAGGATTAAAAGATGGAAAAATGATTAAGGATGTGATTTAACTTTTATTATAGATGTGATGGAAATATAAAAAGGGATGATTACCACTTCATTTATTTGACTGTGATTATGAATAATTCTATAGAACCTACGTTGTGGTACCACTCAGCGGTTTCGTTGAGCGCACAGTTGTCTTTGTTGTGTGACTGTGCGTAGGTAAGAAGCATGACGGTGCTGATCCCGGAGGGCGCTAAGGCGGAAGAGATGGTGGCATGGGTGTGGGAACAATTTCACCTTCATTACCTTTCTTTAAATAAAGTTTGAATAATTTTGGGTCTTGAACCCACGTGTGTACTGTTTTAAATTCCTTGAGCTTCCGCAACGTTATTTTATTTCCCTACTCCGAAACAATTTGTGATGTTGATGTTTTGAATCATTTGAATTATTATTATTAAAATGTTTTTTTATTATGAATGTTACTTTACCAATTTGCTACCATTCTGGTCCGCTAACCCAAGTGAACCGGGTTACATGGATCGGGGTGTTACATCAGCAGATCACCATCCCCGAGTGGAAGTGGGATCGTATCACGATGGATTTTGTTGTGGGACTGCCATTGTCACCACGTAAGCACGACACAGTTTGGGTCATCGTTGATCGATTGACCAAATCAGCTCATTTTCTCCCCATTCGTCGTGACTTCTCACTTCAGCGTTTAGCGGAGTTGTACATCCGCAAGATCATCAGGCTACATGGAGTTCCATCATCTATCATTTCGGATCGTGATCCTCGATTCACATCACATTTTTGGAAGAGCCTACAAAGGGCATTAGGCTCCGATCTCCACTTCAGTACGGCGTTCCACCCTCAAATAGACGGTCAGTTGGAGAGGGTGATTCAGATCCTCGAGGATATGATGCGTGCGTGTGCAATCAATTTCGGGGATGGTTGGGAGCGATACCTGCCACTTATGGAGTTCGCATACAACAACAGTCACCAGGCTAGCATCGGTATGGCACCGTACGAGGCTCTGTACGGTAGACCCTGTCGTACTCCTACCTGCTAGACAGATCTCAGCGAGCGGAGGTTGGAAGGACCAGATCTAGTTCGTGAGACCGAGGAGAAGGTCCAGGTGATTAAATACCGACTTAAGGCGGCTTCGGACCGACAGAAGTCCTACGCCGACCTTAAGAGGCGTGACATCGAGTATGCAGTCGGGGAAAAGGTTTTCTTGAAAGTGTCGCCTTGGAAGAACATCTTACGTTTCGGCAAAAAGGGAAAACTTAGTCCGAGGTTTATAGGCCCGTACCCAGTCACTGAACGGGTGGGACCTGTAGCTTACAGACTCGAGTTACCATCGGAGTTGAGTAAGATCCACAATTTATTCCACGTGTCCATGCTCCGAAGGTACTGGTCGGATCCTTCTCATGTGATTGCAGCTGATACGGTCACACTCGATGAGAATCTTACATACGAGGAGGAGCCGGTTGAGATTCTGGCTCGTGAGATCTATCAGTTGAGGAACAAGACCATTCTGCTGGTCAAGGTTCTATGGAGAAGTCACACCGATAAGGAGGCGACATGGGAAACCGAGGAATCCATGCGTATCCGTTATCCTAATCTTTTCAGTGACCAGTGATCAGGTAAATTTCAAGGACGAAATTTTCTTAAGGGGTGGATAATTGTAACGCCCTGCAACCCGCTCTAATAGAATTGATTAATTTAATTAATTAATTACTGTTCTGAACCAGAGTTGGGGAAAATAAAAAGTTCTTAGAAAAATTATTTGATCATATCATTAAATTCGTTTTGACTGTCTGATTCCAGAAACGCTAACGGATCTCAATTCGGACCCGTTCGGGAGGAAACGCGTACCGTTCAGGTCAGATTTTTACATAACGGAGTAAATGAATATTTGTAACCCCCCATTATTCACACGCCACCCCATGCATCCCCTTTAACTCTCCATCAATTCCCTCATCATTCACCATAAATTCTTAAATTCTAAAACCCCAACCCATCCCTTTCCTCCTTCACACTTTTGTAACTCCCATATTCAACATACATTCACTCTTCAACTCTCTCTCTTGTTCGGCCAAGGCAGCAGCCCAGGGGAAGTCTCCGGAGAAGCTCCGGTGGATGCACGGTTGAGGGAGAAGGAAGGAAGGAAGAGCTAGGCCGTTCCGGTGAAACGTAGTCATCGTTCGTCCGTTCGTTCATCTCGTACCGTCAACCCCTACGTTTAGAGGTGAGTAGTTGTCCCCTCTTATTCTATAACATTTAGTTATAATCCATGTCTTTATGTTCATAGGAATATCGTATGCAACCTACGTAGAATCTATGCATGTTCGTAGGTTAACCATCAAAACGTTCACTATGCAAAACATATATAAATATATTGGCCTAGGAATCATTAGGAACATATTCGTCAATGTTTGTATTATTGTTATAAAAAGAATCAAAGTGTTAAGTTTTCAAAATGGACCAAAACGAAGCCAAAGTCAGTGGACTGTCTACGGAACGGACGACCGCCTCTAAGGACGGTGGACCGTTTCCCTTGACCGTCCGTCGGCCACCACCGTGACGGTCGACCGCCGGCCGCAACGGAAGACCGGGGTGGACCGTCGGTGTTCCAGACCTCCATAACGCCACCCACGGTCAACCGCACGGGCCAGATTGCGGATGACTTCTGTGTGAAGACTCATGAGCTTGTCTCTAAGGGGGAGAGACAAGACTTCACTATCGATGGCAGTGGAGTGTTGCGCTATAGGGATCGCTTGGTGGTACCGAATGGTGAAGTGAGAGAACGGTTGCTACGGGAAGCTCATGAAACCGTGTACACCATGCACCCTGGCAGCAATAAGATGTACCAAGATCTCAAGAAAGCTTACTGGTGGCCGACGATGAAACGAGAAATTTCAGAGTTTACGGCTAAGTGCCTGACTTGTCAGCAGGTCAAGGCAGAGCATCAGGTGCCGAGTGGGCTGCTACACCCACCAGTTATCCCTGAGTGGAAATGGGAGAGGGTCACGATGGACTTTGTTATAGGCTTACCCCTGTCGAACAAGAAGAATGATGCAGTATGGGTCATAGTGGACCGATTGACTGAGTCAGCTCACTTCCTACCTATCCAACGAGACTTTTCCTTGCAGAGCAGAGGTTAGCTGAGCTTTATATTCGGGAAATTGTGAGACTACGTGGAGTGCCGGTGTCTATCATCTCCGATCACGACCCGCGATTCACATCACAGTTCTGTAAGAGTTTGCAAAAGGCTCTTGGCACTAAGCTCAATTTCAGTACAGCGTTTCACCTGCAGACGGATGGCCAATCCGAGAGAACGATTCAGATTTTGGAAGACATGATGAGAGCTTGTGTCATCGATTTCGGTGATGGTTGGGAACGATATGTGCCGTTGATGGAGTTCGCCTACAACAACAGCTACCAGGCTAGTATTCAGATGGCACCGTACGAGGCACTATACGGTAGACGCTGCAGAACCCCGGTCTGTTGGACCGAGCTGAGTGAACCTAAGCTCGAAGGACCTGACCTTATTCGCGAGGCAGAAGAGAAGGTTCGCATAATACGAGATAGATTACAAGTTGCTTTGGATCGTCAGAAGTCCTATGCTGATCTCAAGCGTAGGGAAATTGAGTATAATGTGGACGATTGGGTGTTTCTCAAGGTTTCTCCGTGGAAGAAGGTATTGAGGTTTAATTTGGTAAGAAGGGAAAGCTAAGTCCTAGGTTCATTTGGACCATAGGGGTCCTTGAACGAGTAGGACCAGAGGCTTACGGTTAGAGTTACCTCTAGAGTTATAGAAGATCCACGACGTATTCCATGTATCTATGCTAAGAAAATATCGATCACACCCGTCACATGTCCTACCTAAGGGAGCAGTCACCCTCGACGAGAGTCTTACCTATGAGGAAGAACCCGTACAGATCTTGGCACGTGAAGTAAAGGAACTGAGGAACAAGACAGTTCCCTTGGTCAAGGTGCTTTGGCGAAACCACGCGGTGGAGGAAGCAACCTGGGAGACCGAGGAGTCCATGAGAGCTCAGTATACTCAACTCTTCAGTGACCAATAACTCAGGTAAATTTCGAGGATGAAATTCTTTTAAGGGGGAGAGAAATGTAATGCCCCAAAACCTTACCTTTTAGAATTAATTAATTAGAAATAATTAATTAATTAATTATTGAGACGGACTCGGTGAAAATTATAAATACTCTTCGTTTGACAATAAAGATTATACCGTTGTGTAGGGTTCGGTGAATCGAATCTAATGGTGAAATTGGATTTGGATTTGGAGCCAGTGGGTCTAGAAAGTGCGTTTGGGCTAGGTATGTTCAGTTCATACGGAGCCCAAAACCCCAAAAGTATAAATATACTCCCAACACATCCCAAACCCTTACGCCACCATATTTACGTAACTCCCTCCCCACTCTCTCACGTGTCTCTCTCTCTCGCGTCTCACCCTCGCTGAACAGAACAGAGCAGAAGGACAAACGCAGGAAGAAGAAGAAGAAGAGAAGAAGAGAAGAAAGAAGAAGGAAGTGGAAGAATCTGACGCCATTGTTCGTGGGTACCATCTTGTAGTTTTAATCATTGAATTTGAGGTGAGTACGTGGTCATCTAACATATGGTTATATTCGTAGGTTTGAATCTTACATGCATAGAATCGTTACGGTTGATCTATTTGGACTATACGTGAAGTATGCCTTGTTTATTTTGTTTATGATTTGAAAAGCATGATTTGGATTAGAATGGTTGAGGGATGTTTAGTTAATGTTGGGTTAATGATTTATGACCTGTTTATGGTTGTTTTCATTGGAATTGATACTGTCTCATGGACAAAAATGGAGCTGGTGCAAGTCTGGTGTTCGCCGTGACAAACGGTATGGGGGTACCGTTGGCACGGTACGTGGCTACCGCCAGTCTCCCCGTTTTCGTCTCTCTCTGCCGGTACATGTCACCAGAAGGCACCCAGGTGCCGGATGGGCGATAGGCCCTACCGCCTGGTCGGTAGAGGCTACCGTGACAGCCTTCTATTGACCTTGAATGCCGTACCCCGTAACCGTTTTGATGTGCCAAATAAGTCTTCCAATGCCACTAACATCATTTGCAGGAAGAAACCAAACGACAAACCTCTATTAACTCGTTTAGAATCACCGAGATGTACTCCTACGAGCTTAGAAACCAAACGCCAAACCTCTGTTTACTTATGCCCTTTCAGTGAAAAATTATTTCTAAAACGTCAAATATATTCTTACTTGGGGTTATTTTGAAAACGGAACACAAAAAATGAGTTTTGGAAAATTCACACAGGTCTAACGGTACCTGGTTACCGTGTACATGGCACCAGGGTACCGCCGGTAGCCAAGTGAACATACCGTTGTACGTTTCACTTGGGTGGTCACGGTACCCCCCTACTATGGTAACGGTACATGGGTACCGTCGGTAGGCTTGGAACGGTTGGCCAAGCCGTTTTACCCTAGGTACCGCCAGAGCCGAATCCATTTTTTGGCATATACGGTACCCCCTAGCGGTAGGTTGTACTGTGGTCACGGTACCTAGGTACCGGACGGTACTGACCCTACCGTGAAGGGTACCGTATCCGTTATCAACACTGTAGCAAATTGCCAATTTAAATACAAATCACCCCAAATTACTCCCTAACGGCATTTAACGTTAAAAACTCATATTCTAACCTTCCAAACTCCTATATAAACCCCCTCTAAGTCTCATTTTATATACAACAATTTCTTTATTAAATCTATAGCCTCTTTTTCTATTCTTGAGTGTTTCTTAAAGCTTTGTTCTTATTTTTCTTACTCTTTTGAGTATAAAGCTTTCATTATCTTTTACGCTCACACACAAGGGCATTTGTGATTCATTATTTTATATCTTGCCTATAGGCTTTTGTTGTTGTTGATTTAATCCTTTGTTCTTCTTCTACCCAATTTATATGTAAAATTTGCACTAAATAGGACTAAAACATAATGACTTTTCTAATGTAGGATTTAAACTTTTATATTCCGTAAATAGGACTTAATAATGACCTTGTGGGAAGAATAATGTCCAGTAATGATGGACATGTACTTGAATAATGACTACTTGATAATGACCAAAAGTCCTACATTGGGAAATAAAAACATATGGTCCTATATTGGGAAAGTCATTATGTTTTGGTCCTATTTAGGTAAAATTCTCAATTTATATTTGTTATCATTTTAGTAGAGAAGCAACATCAATCTTTTATTGATTTGTAAAAGGTGTGGATAGCCTTTAAATCCTCATTGTAAGGTTGAAGATAGCCTTAAAATCTTCGGTCGTAAACGGTTGAGATAGCCATAGTAAAATCTCGTTTGCTTATTAGCAAGGGTTGTTTGCCAAACCTCGTTTGAGTCTTCTTAGTGAAGCCAAACAAGTTAGTGGAGGTTAAATCCTTTAGGAGGAGCCTCGAGGTACTGGAGTATGGAGTTCCTGAACCAGTATAAAATCGCGTGTGTCGTATTTTTATCTTTTATACTTTTCTTGCTCTTTTTCTGCTACTACTTTGCGCATAAGTTTTTGTTTTTACGAAAAACTTGCAAACACCCTAATTCACCCCCCTCTTAGGGTGTAAACCGACTTTAAATTGGTATCAAAGCAGGAAGTTTGATCCTTTCACACTCATCTATTATTTCTTTTTACGACACATGGATTCAATGAACTCCCAAAGCATTACCAAGCCACCATTCTTCAATGGGGATAACTATGGCTATTGGAAAATGCGAATGAAGAATTTCATTCAATCTATTGACTATGATTTATGGATAGTCACTACTCATGGTCCGTTTATTCCTATGACAACTGTAGGTGAACACCAAGTGCCTACACCAATGGACAAGCTCACAACCGACGAAAAGAAAAAACACTCTTTGAATGCCAAAGCATTAAATGTGTTGTTTTGTGCATTGGGTCAAGATGAGTTTGCTAGGGTGAGCTCTTGCAAATCCGCAAAGGAAGCATGGAAGCTCCTAGAAGCCACCCATGAAGGAGATAAAGACACAAAAGCTACCAAGATAGCTTTAGGAACATCCGAGTATGAAAACTTCAAGATGAAGGTCGGAGAATCTATTCAAGATATGAACAAACGATTCAACCTCATTGTCAACAATTTGAGTAAGCTAAATAAAGTTTATCCTACTAGTGAGATTAACACCAAGATTATATTCTCTCTTCCTAGAGAGTAGCATAGTCTTGTTGTAAATTTGTTGCCCAAATGTGCGGATGTTGAAACCTCCACCATTTGGAGCAGCCTATACTCTCATGAGCTTCTTTTGAAGAAAATGAAGGAAGAAGAACATGTTCCTATCATCAAGAAGACCATGACACTCAAAATTGATGACCATCCGGAGAGCGAAGGAGAAAGTGATGAGGAGCTTGCCATGTTCAAGAGATACAAAAAATTTATGAAATGGAACAAGGGCGAATCCTCAAAGATATTTCCACAAAAGAAAGGTAAATCTAATCAAATAACTTGTTATGAATGTGGAAATGTAGGTCATATCAAACCGGAGTGCCCAAAGCTCAAAAAGAAGGAAGAGCTTAAAAAGGGGAAGAAGAAGGCATTGAAGGTCACTTGGGATGATTTAAACTCGGATGAAAGTGATAGTGATCAAAGCCAAGAAGAAAACGTGAATGCTTGCTTCATGGCTTCAAACGATGAGGAAGAGGTTAGTTCCCAAAATTCATTTACTTCTTTTGAAAGTCAAATTACTTTTGATGAGTTAAGGCAAGCATTTGATGAATGCCAAGAGGACCTTTTTCGAACCATTAGGGAGAAAAAGGAACTCAAAGTGGCTCTTGAAACTTCTCGGGATGAAAACAAAAATTTAAAACTTAATCTTGAGAAACTTCAAAACCAAAATGAAGAATTTCAAAAAAAAATTGAAATTTTGATTAAAGAAAAAGACAAGCTAGGCCAAGAGAGGGGCTTTGGAAATGTTTTATAATAGCTATAGCTCAATGAAGATGTGGGATGACCAACCAAAACTAACAAAAGAAGGCATTGGTTATGGTCAATCCACAAACTCTATGAGCATGGCTAAAAATCATTTTAATACCTCAAAAACAAACCCATCAAACCAAGCCTCAACTTCTAAATCAAAAGTAAAGGCTTGCCACTATTGCATGCAAGCTAACCATATTGTGACAAAGTGTCCAAACAAATGGTTAGTTGAAATGCGTAGATTAAAATGGGTCAAGAAGGGTTCTAACTAGTCGGAATCCAAGAATATTGGATATCAAAAGAAACCCTTTTTGCAGGAAAATAAAAGAAATGATGGTGGATACTATTGCTTGTGTCATACTTTTATACTTTATATTTTTCTTGCTCCTTTTTCGCTATTACTTTGCGCATAAGTTTTTGTTTTTTTTTACGAAAAACTTTCAAACACCCTAATTCACCCCCCTCTTAGGGTGTAACCCGACTTTCAATTGGTATCGGAGCAGGAAGTTTAATCCTTTCACACTCATATTTTATTTCTTCTTACAACACATGGATTCAATGAACTCTCAAAGCATTACCAAGCCACCATTTTTAATGGGGATAACTATGGCTATTGGAAAATGCGAATGGAGAATTTCATTCAATCTATTGACTATGATTTATGGATAGTCACTACTCATGGTCCATTTGTTCCGATGACAACTGTAGGTGAACATCAAGTGCCTGCGCCAATGGACAAGCTCACAACCGATGACAAGAAAAAACTGTCCTTGATGCCAAAGCATTAAACATGTTGTTTTGTGCATTGGGTCAAGATGAGTTTTCTAGGGTGAGCTATTGCAAATCCGAAAAGGAAGCATGGAAGCTCCTAGAAGCCACCCATGAAGGAGATAAAGACACCAAAGCTACCAAGATAGTTTTAAGAACATCCGAATATGAAAACTTCAAAATGAAGGCCGGAGAATCCATTCAAGATATGAACAAACATTTCAACCTCATTGTCAACAATTTGAGTAAGCTAAATAAAGTTTATCCTACTAGTGATATTAACACTAAGATTATATTTTCTCTTCCTAGAGAATGGCATAGTCTTGTTGTTAATTTGTTGCCCAAATATGCGGATGTTGAAACCTCCACCATTTGGAGCAGCCTATACTCTCACAAGCTTCTCTTAAAGAAAATGAAGGAAGAAGAACATGTTCCCATTGTAAAGAAGACCATGGCACTCAAGGTTGATGACCGCTCGGAAAGCGAAGGAGAGAGTGACGAGAAACTCGCCATGTTCAAGAGATACAAAAAGTTCATTAAACGGAACAAGGGCGAATCCTCAAAGAAATTTCCACCAAAGAAAGGTAAATCAAATCAAGTAACTTGCTATGAATGTGGAAATATAGGGCATATCAAGCCGGAATGTCCAAAGCTCAAAAAGAAGGAGGAGCTTAGAAAGGGGAAGAAGAAAGCATTAAAGGTCACTTGGGATGAAGAAGAGGTTAGTTCCCAAAACTCATTCACCTCTTTTGAAAGTCAAATTACTTTTGATGAGTTAAGGCAAGCGTTTGATGAATGCCAAGAGGACCTTTTTCCAACCATTAGAGAGAAAAAGGAACTCAAAGTGGCCCTTGAATCTTCTTGGGATGAAAACAAAAATTTAAAACTTAATCTTGAGAAGCTTCAAAGCCAAAATGAAGAATTTCAAAAGAAAATTGAAATTTTAATTAAAGAAAAAGACAAGGCCAAGCGAGGGGTTTTGGAAATGTTTTACAATAGCTATAACTCAACAAAAGAAAGGGATAACCAACCAAATATAACGAAAGAAAGGAATTGGTTATGGTCAAACCACAAATTTGATGAGCATGGCTAAAAATCATTTTAATACCTCAAAAACTAATTCATCAAACCAAGCTTCAACTTCTAAATCAAAAGTAAGGGCTTTCCACTATTGCATGCAAGCTAACCATATTGTGACAAAGTGTCCAAACAAATGGTTATTTGAAATGCGTAGATTAAAATGGGTCAAGAAGGGTTCTAACTGGTCGGAATCCAAGAATATTGGATATCAAAAGAAACCCTTTTTGCAGGAAAATAAAAGAAATGATGGTGGATACTATTTCTTTTATTATGATGAAAAACAAAAAAGTCCATATACCACTTCCGGAACCAACAAGGACAAAACCCTTATATTTACATAGGGTATTCGTCGATAGGAACCCCTAACCTAAGTCAAAAGTAAATTCCTCTTTGACTAGGTGAAAAATACCACTTGGGTTGTGGATAGTGGATGTTCGAGGCATATGACCGGAACAAGAGGATGGTTCACACAACTCAAGGAGAAAAGTCATGGACACGTGACCCTTGGAGACAAATCTCGGAAGAAAGTCATTGGTAAAGGTACGATAAATATTTCAAGTGATTTTTCAATAAATGATGTTTATCTTGTTGATGGCCTAAAATTCAATTTAATTAGCATAAGCCAACTTTGTGACAATGGCCACAAAATTGAGTTTAATGCAAATTCTTGCGTTTTATATGGCCAAAATAAAGATGAAATCATTTTTTAGGCTAAAAGAGATGGAAACTTATACAAGTTCAATTCCAATGACTTGAGCAACTCAAAAATCACTTGTCTTACTACTTTGCTTGAATTTTCAACATTATGGCATCGTAGACTATGACATGCTAGTTATGATCTTTTGAGAAAACTTTACTCAAAAGAACTTGTTATTGGACTACCAAAAATGAGCATACCCCCTTCTCGTTTTTGTGATGCATGCTCCCTTGGGAAACAACATAAAGTATCATTCAAACCCATAAAAATGGTTTTAACGTCAAGGCCACTTGAACTCTTACATATGGATTTATTTGGGCCTGTTTACGTTCAAAGCCTAGGTGGAGCTAGTTTTACATTTGTAATTGTAGATGATTTTTCTTGTTATACTTGGACTATATTACTTGCCAAAAAGATGATGCGTTAAATGTGTTTGTTAAGTTGTGCAAGAGAATCCAAAATGAGAAAGGTTATGAAATAACCTCTATTAAAAGTGATAGAGGAAGAGAATACCGGAATACCGATTTTGAGACATATTGTGATGAACACGGTATTTCTCACAACTTTTCGACTCCTAGAACACCTCAACAAAATGGAGTCGTTGAAAAGAAAAATAAGACGTTGCAAGAAATGTCAAGGACCATGTTGAATGAACATAACTTACCTCAATATTTTTGGGGAGAAGCAGTCAACACGGCATGCTACATTCTTAACCGGGTATTACCTAGACCTATTATCAAAACCACTCCCTATGAACTTTGGAAAGGTAGAAAACCAAACATTGCCTATTTCAAAGTTTTTGGGTGTAAATGCTATATTTTGAATACCAAGGATCATTTAGGTAAATTTGAGCCTAAATCAAATGAAGGAATTTTCCTTGGTTATTCAACAAATAGTAGAGCCTATAGGGTATATAATAAATCAAATCATAAAGTAGAAGAATCTATGCATGTGAAATTTGATGAAACCGATCCCTTTGGGTCGAGTAAGGTAATTGTAGGTTCAAATGAAGAAGAAGAGGAAGAAGAAATCCTGGAAATTCCTGCACAAGAAGAAGAAAATGAAAAGAAGGAACTACCAAAGGCTTACAAACACTTGAAGAATCATCTGAGAGACAATATCATTGGAGATATTGAAAAGGGAGTTAGAACTATGAACAATTATAATCTTTGTGCACACTATGCGTTCGTTAGTCAATTTGAACCTAAGAACGTAGAAGATGCACTAAAAGATAGTGATTGGATCATATCCATGCAACTAGAGCTTGAGCAATTTGAACAAACAAGTTTTGGGAACTAGTCAAAAGACCGGAAAACCGACCTGTTGTGGGCACTAAATGGGTCTTTAGAAACAAGCTTGATGAAAATGGTGTTATTATCACTAATAAAAGTCGACTTGTTTCTAAAGGCTATAGCCAAGTTGAAGGACTTGACTATGATGAAACTTTTGCTCTGGTTGCTAGGCTTGAATCAATTAGGATGTTATTAGCCTTTGCATGTGCTCTTAATTTCAAACTTTTTCAAATGGATCTTAAAAGTGCTTTTCAAAATGGGTGGTTGAAAGAAGAATTTTATGTTGAACAACCTCCGGGTTTTGAAAATCCAGATTTTCCAAATCATGTTTTTAAACTTCATAAGGCTCTTTATGGACTCAAACAACAGAAAACTGCTCTTGGGTACCCCATATTTTGAGAAACTAACTGCCGGGTACCTCATATTTTCAAAATATACTCCGAGGTACCTTCTATTTTGAGACACTAACTATCGGGTACCTCACATTTTTAAAATATACTCCGAGGTACCCTCTATTTTGAGAAACTAACTATCGGGTACCTCACATTTTTAAAATATACTCCAGGATATCTCCAAATATACATTAATTTTACGCCATTAATTTTAAGAAATAGGGGTTTGGAATTTTAAAAAAACCAAGATCTTTTTAATTTGAAGAAAATTGAGTACTCAATTTTAAAAGTATTGAGTACAATTTTCTTCAAATTAAAAAGATCTTGGTTACTTTTAAAATTCCAAACCCCTATTTCTTAAAATTAATGGCGTAAAATTAATGTATATTTGGAGGTATCCTGGAATATATTTTAAAAATGTGAGGTACCTGATAGTTAATTTCTCAAAATAGAGAGTACCTCGGAGTATATTTTAAAAATGTGAGGTACCCGATAGTTAGTTTCTCAAAATAGAAGGTACCTCGGAGTATATTTTGAAAATGTGAGGTACCTGGCAGTTAGTTTCTCAAAATATGGGGTACCCAGGAGCAGTTTTTTGGGTCAACTAATGAAGCCATATGTAATGAATTTTCAGGAATTATGACAAGCGAATTTGAAATGAGTATGATGGGCAAGTTGAACTTCTTCCTTGGACTTCAAATCAAGCAACTTGGAGATGGTATCTTCATTAGCCAAACCAAGTATGCCAAAGAATTAGTCAAGAAGTTCAACCTTGAAGACTCAAAAACATACCCGGCTCCAATGAGCACATCTTTGAAGCTTGACAACGACAAAAGCGGAAAACCCATAAGCGAAAATGTATATCGAGGTATGATTGGTAGTTGGCTTTACTTAACTGCATCTAGACCCGATATAATGTTTTCCGTTTGTCTTTGTGCACGTTTCCAATCATCACCTAAAGAATCACATCTAAATGCCGTCAAGCGAATAATTTGATATGTAAAGGGAACGACCTTGATATATAGGTTTTAGTGATGCCGACATTGGAGGGTGTCGCATTGATCGGAAAAGCACAAGTGGCACATGTCAATTCATAGGTCATGCACTAGTGTCTTGGTCGTCTAAGAAACAACACTCCGTTGCCCTATCCACCGCCAAAGCAGAATATGTGGCTATGGGTAGTTACGTTGTGTTGCTCAAATTTTATGGATGATGCAAACACTAAGTGACTTTAACTTAAAATTTTAAAAAGTGCCTATTTTTTATGACAATACAAGTGCAATAAATATTTCTAAAAATCCCGTGTTGCATTCTAGGACTAAACATATAGAAATAAGACATCATTTTATACGTGATCATGTTGCAAAGGAAGATATTCAAATTGAATATCTAAATACACTTGAACAACGTGTCGATATTTTTACAAAACCCTTGGATGAAAAACAATGTTTACATATTTGTCGGGAAATGGGAATGCTTGAATTAAAGTGAAATTTAAGGTTTTTATTACCCCATTACAACATAAAAATAAATTGATCAAGTCCAAATGCTCAAAACACGCGTCTAGAGGTCAATACAAATACTTGTAGCAAGGCACGGTACCCTTGGCGGTAGTCGGTACCGCCGCTACGGTAGGGCCTATCGTTAGAACGGTATCCCTGTGCCATTTGGACGCAGATACCGCCAGAGGGGATTGGATTTTGGGACGCTTCACGGTAGCTAGACACGGTAGAGCGTACCGTATACAAGGTATCAAGGTACCGTTAACACGGTACCGAGGTACCGACCGTCTCTTCGGGTCAACCATCATTAAAACCCTAGTTTTCATCCAACTCTCCCACTTTCGGTTCAATCGGTCGCTGCAACTCCCGGCGTCGTCTCCCGTCTCTCTCTATCATCCTTCACCCAAGGTAATTTTTCCATCCAAATTCCTCAATTTCTTCAAATATTAGGTTCAATTTCTTCATATACTCTCTTCAATTCGTGCATTTGGTATCAATTTTCCCATTTTCGTCCAAAATTACCAATTTTCACAAATTCTCCAAATATGAGTGAGATTGTCTCGAATGTTCAAACCGATGCTCAACCCGGGTTCAAGGCTTATGCCGACCCACATATCATTGAGGGGAGAACCCTAAAACAAGATGACATCCCGGTAGCCGTTCTTGAACTAATTCACGAACAAGGTTGGAGTTTCTTTCTTCAACTCCAAGCCCCCGTTTACCCGGACCTCGTTCATCAATTTTATACATCTATGAAATATCATCCGCAAGAACCTTCCATTACCGCCATTGTTTCCGGCAAAACCATCGGATTCATCACCCAAAATCTTTCCGAATGGTTTCACCTTGAGTGTCAAGGAGTCTCCTCCTATTGCAAAAAGGGGTGGATTTCCAAATCCCAAGACTTCAACTCTGATTTTTGCCTCCGTGTTCTAAACAATATTGTCCTTGATCATGTGTTTGAGGACCCGGACTATTTCCTTCGTCGGCTCGAAGTCCAAAACTTGACCGCTAATCGGTTCATCCTTCCCAAAAATTTTCAAAAAAAAATGTCATTCCCGTCCTTAACAAGGACAAGCTCGTCAGGATTTATGAGTGTACTCTCCTCTACCTTCTCCTCACTCACAAGAAAATCAATCTCCCATCCATCATCATCCAACACATGTACGAAAGCTCGGGTCGCCAAAACAGACCTTACGGAATGCTCCTCACCCATATCTTTGCCAAACGAGGCATTCTTGAGGTGCGCCCGTCCCGAATCCGCTTTCTTGACGCAGAGTGCCTTGGATATTGTGGCCTAGTGAATATCGGAGATGATTACTACATGAAGAGGGAGTTCCAAAAGCTTGACACGGAAACCCAAGCGGAATATGGCCCTCGGCGTTCCATGTCATCCTTGCCTTCAACTTCTAAAGCACTCGAAGCCGAAGCCAATGCCAACACGGAGGTCCCCGTTCGTGCTCCTCGGGTCAAATGATCAAAATCGGCGTCTCATGCTTCCTCAGCCTCTCTCTTGCATCGTCACTCCCACATGGCCTCCACTTCCAAAAATCTATTCAAAAAGTTCAAGAAATTCATTCTCAAGACGGTGGTGGCCCCGATGAGGAAACTTCAAGAGAGTCTCGATGACCTCTCAGATCGCATGAAGAAGATGGAGGACCGTGAGGCTCTTTGAAAGCAAGAAAAGGATCGTCCTTCTAGACGCCGCTAAGGTTGAGCATTTGACAATATGATCAAACATTATATTATGTATTTTGCCTAAGTTTTAAAACTCTTTGTCATCTATTATGTTTCAAACTCTTATTTATGCACTTGTATGACTCAAACTCCTTTGTTGTGATTCTGCTTATGATTTGATTGATTATGGTTTGATGATGTTTATGGTTTACTTGCAATTGAATGTATATAACATTGCCATGTTGAATGCCTATGTGTTGAAACTTACACTTTTCGTACCCGGCCTTTTTGAATGTTGCCAAAAGGGGGAGAAATATTAGGCTTTCATATACATACATTTAGGGGGAGTTTTTGTCAAAATCTCATGTGCATAAACTTAGGGGGAGTTTTACAATCAAAATATGATTTTCACGATGTGTTTGTGCGTTTGCTTATTATATTCGAAAGACTTATTTGTCAACATAAAAAAGAGGGGGATTGTTGGCCTTGAATGCCATACCCCGTAACCGTTTTGATGTGCCAAATAAGTCTTCAAATTCCACTAACATAATTTGCAGGAAGAAAGGAAACGCCAAACCTCTATTAACTCGTTTAGAATCAGCGAGATGTACTCCTACGAGCTTAGAAATATTTGTGTAAAGGTAACGATATATTTTAATGATTTACTTATGCTCTTTCACTCAAAAATTATTTCTAAAATGTCAAATATGTTCTTAGTTGGGGTTATTTTGAAAACGGAACACAAAAAACGAGTTTTGGAAAATTTACACAGGTCTAACGGTACCTGGCTACCGTGTACACGGCACCAGGGTACCACCAGTAGCCAAGTGAACGTACTGTTGTACGTTTCACTTGGGTGGTCACGGTACCCCCTACCGTGGTAACGGTACATGGGTACCGTCGGTAGGCTTGGAACGGTTGGCCAAGTCGTTTTACCCCAGGTACCGCCAGAGCCGAATCCATTTTTTGGCATATACGGTACCCCCTAGCGGTAGGCTGTACCGTGGTCACGGTACGTAGGTACCGAACAGTACTGACCCTACCGTGAAGGGTACCGTATCCGTTATCAACACTGTAGCAAATTGCCAATTTAAATTCAAATCACCCCAAATTACTCCCTAACGGCATTTAACGTTAAAAACTCATATTTTAACCTTCCAAACTCCTATATAAACCCCCTCTAAGTCTCATTTTATATACAACAACTTCCCAATTAAATCTAAAGCCTCTTTCTCTATTCTTGAGTGCTTCTTAAATCTTTATTCTTATTTTTGTTACTCTTTTGAGTATAAAGCTTTCATTATCTTTTACACTCACACACAAGGGCATTTGTGATTCATTATTTTATATCTTGCCTATAGGCTTTTGTTGTTGTTGATTTAATCCTTTGTTCGTCTTCTACCCAAATTATATTTGTTATCATTTTGGTAGAGAAGCAACATCAATCTTTTATTGATTTGTAAAAGGTGTGGATAGCCTTTAAATCCTCATTGTAAGGTTGAAGATAGCCTTAAAATCTTCGATTGTAAATGATTGAGATAGCCGTAATAAAATCCCGTTTGCTTATTGGCAAGGATTGTTTGCCAAACCTCGTTTGAGTCTTCTTAGTGAAGCGAAACAAGTTAGTGGAGGTTAAATCCTTGAGGAGGAGCCTCGAGGTACTGGAGTAGGGAGTTCCCGAACTAGTATAATATCGCTTATGTCGTACTTTTATACTTTATACTTTTCTTGCTCCTTTTCCGCTATTACTTTGCGCATAAGTTTTTGTTTTTTTACGAAAAACTTTCAAACACCCTAATCCACCCCCCCTCTTAGGGTGTAAACCGACTTTCACCTACCGGAGGAGACTCTAGCTGACACGGTCGGTACCCCTGTACCTTGGGGATGAAACCCTGGTACCGTGGGGTCGGTAGCCCCTATCGCCAAGGGTACCGTGGGGTACCTGAATTGGTTTGAATTTGTTGTTTGCGTCGAGGATCGATTCCAAGACTTTGTGTGCTGCATGACGGTAAACATGGGTGTCAATACCCAGGGTTAGGCCGCTGTTTAAGTATGTCGGATGTGATGAATTATGTCGTATGATGCATGAACTTGTATGTTGTGAAATATTAGCAAATAAAGAATGAAATACCTAGAACGAACTCTAGGAACGGACCTGAATGGAAATAATGGCAAGTCATGTCATAAGTTAGTAAGTTAGAGTCATGTGTTACCTGCTGGGTCTAATGGCTGTCCGCGTAAAAACGTGTACACTGGGATCTAAGAATTGTTGTTCCAAAGGGGACAAGGATCTCACCCACCCAACGAGGAACTCCCGAGTTGGTTTGAGCTTGACCTTCGTTCCGAAGGGGAAGGTCATGACTCCCATAGGCAAGTCGTATAAAATTAAGCTTTAACCTAACATAGGTTAAGAGCCAAATACAGAAAGTAAGGTAAGTAAAGAGGAAAGAGCTTGTTGTTATATCCTGTAAATTGTATTCCTTGAATGATGATGTTCTGCTTACGTATGTTATATCCGGTATGATGTATGAATATGTTGAGCATGTTGTGTGCATGACATCGTATGAGGATATGGGCTAGTGGGATCACCAATGGGTGTAGCTGTATGTTAGATATTTCTCACTTAGCTTCAATGCTGAGCGTGTAGCCTTTTTCTTGTTTGCTACACGTAGGTAATCCAGGAAATGATGAGCTTGGAGCCAATCCCAGAGGGCGATGAGGAGGCTGAGATATGCGTGGCGGTGTTCGACGATTTTGAATTATTACTACTTATTTAAATAACTTATTACTATTTCAGGCATGATTCCCAAGTTGTGTTTTGAATTATGAATTAAGCTTCCGCAACCGTTTTGATTTACTCCGATGGATATTTAAATGTTGTTTTCAATTTAAATGTTTTAAACTGTTTTGAAAGTTAAATGGTGTTTGGATACCAAATTAGTAGGAACCTAGTTCGTTGATCCGAGTATTCGGGTTATGCGGGTTGGGGTGTTACAGTTCTTGATATCATAGATATGAAATCATAAGTTGGCCTCTAGGACTTACTTATATTCAACAGTTCTCAGATCTGTACTTCTATGCAGGATCTGCATGAGGTGAGACAGTTGACAGAGGGAGAGGTTCAACTTAGAGTCGGCAATGGAGCAGTTGTTAATGCGTTGGCCGTCGGAACTTATAATTTACCTCTAGTGGGGTTGCAATTAAACAATGTTTTGTTTGTGCATGCAATTAGCATGAATTTTATTTCTGTCTCCTGCCTTGACAAAGCAGGATATTCCATTGTTGTAAAAGATAAATGTTTGAATGTTTTCAGAAATGATATGTTTTATGCAGCTGCTCGAATGACCAATGGGCTATATGTCTTAGACTTAGACGCCCTCTATATAATGTAGATGTTAACAGTTTGAATCTCACGTACCTCTAGCATTGTCATTTGGACCACATTAACGAGAAACGCATATCTAAGTTACGTCACTCAGGCGTACTTGATTTATTTGACCTTGAGTCTTATGATGTACTACCTCCGTCCTAGAGTTTTTGTCCACTTTCATTTTTACACACCATCCAATGCACTTCTTTAATCCATTTTATCTTGTAATTTGTATATTAAAAAATTATAGAAATTATATATTAATAATCTATATGTTAAGACAAATCAAACAAAATCACACATGACTATATTTCGGCTTACACATTGAGAGAATTTGATGAGTCAAAGTGCTTAGATGAACAGTTCCAAAAGTCAAAACTGGACGAATACTCTAGGACGGAGGGAGTATGCCAATATTGTTTACTCGGTAAAATGACAAAGGCTCCATTCACCGGTCACGGTGAAAGGGCGAGTGATGTATTAGGCCTCATACACTCTGATGTGTGTGGCCCAATCAACACTGAAGCTAGAGCTGGTTTCTCATACTTCGTCACATTTACTAACGACCTTAGTCGGTATGGATATGTGTATCTTTTAAGACACAAATCGGAATGTTTTGACAAGTTCAAAGAATTCAAAAACGAAGTATAGAAACAATTAGGCAAAAGTATCAAGACACTCCCTTCGGATCGTGGAGGTGAGTACTTGAGTCTAGAGTTTGATGATGTGGGACAAAACTGAATTTGTCATACTTGAGGATTTGGGGTTGTGATGTTTACGTTAGACGCCTCATGACGTCTAGTAAGCTGGATTCCAAATCTGACAGGTGTAAATTTGTGGGGTATTCCAAGGAAACAAAAGGGTATGAGTTTTATCATTTGACCGATAACAAAATAATTGTTGCTTGGAACGGAACCTTCCTTGAGGAGTTTCTCTCTGCTATTTCTAGTGGGAGAAAGGTAGACCTCGAAGAAATTCGAGAACCACAAGAAGAGATCTCAATAGCAGTGGAATCCAAGCGTCAAGATTTAGTATCTCAACCGGCTAAGGTTTTACCACGTAGGTCACACCGGATGCGTAATCATTTAGTTAAATACGGCTTCCACGTATCTGATGAAGGGAACGTCTTACTGGTAGACCAAGGCAAACCTGAGACCTACATCGAGGCAATCACGTGCCCCGAATCCGAAGAACGGCTTAATGCCATGAAATCCGAAATGGAGTCTATGTACACAAACAAACCAAGTCTGGACCTTGGTTGATGCGCCCAAAGGGATAAAATCCATAGGGTGCAAGTGGATTTTCAAAAAGAAAACAGAGGTAGACGGGAAGATTCATACCTTCAATCCAGGCACTTATACATACAATCTATGACTAAATATATTTCTTACAATATCAAATTTATAAAATTGAACTATATATTTGTCAAGATTTTCAAAAAATTCAAAATCTTGTATAGACCAACTACAACATCATTTGAAACTAAATGGAGTAGCCAACTTCGTGTTCCACTGCCATGAAAAAAACCCTGACGTACCCTACAAGGAAAGCTTTTTAATTTTTTTTACATATATTAGGAGTTTCCTCGGGAGGGAGGGAGCAAATTATTATTTGTATTTCGGAAATAACCCTAAATAGGACTAAAACATAGAGTTTAAGTTTTGGGATAAGTCCTATTTGGGGGATTTAAGTTTTGAAGTCCTATTTAAGTATATTTGATATGTTTTAGTCCTATTTAGAACTTTTTCCCTTTGTATTTCAACATCATACATGACTTTTTTCCATCATCTCCGATGGAGTCAAAATTTCACCATTTTTGGCATTGAGGTGTGATGGAATAAATCAAAATGGATCTCTAAACTATCTGCGCTTCTTTAATTAATGAAGTAGCAGTTAGTCAAACACTGCAACTTTCGATGTTGAGCCGGGGGTCTCTTTGGAAACAGCCTCTCTACTTTCGAGTAGGAGTAAGGTCTGCACACAGACACCCTCCCAGATTCTACTCTTGTGGAATTTAAGTGGGTTGTTGTTGCTAAATGAGACACACTACAGTAAAAATCGTATATCAAATCCTTCTCCGCAGTCCGCACTCCGCAGTCCGCCGGTAGTCATTAATCCATTATTTTTCTTTGTATGAAGTTTTGTGATCACACTTTAAAAACGAGTCACTCCCTCACTCCCTTTCCCCTACTACACTACCCTCAACACTCTCTTCTCTTTCAAGATTCAACCCACTCCTTGCAGACCCTTATTATCTCCGGCGTCTCACCGGAGAGGCATTTCAAAAAAAAAACTGCTTTTTTGGTCAAAGTCCTTAAACCCGATCGCCACTTTTGCTTGAGAGTTTCAGTGTGAACACAAATATTGAGAGAGAGAGAGAGAGGAAAGATTTAAAAAAAAGATTGGAACTTCCTTTTGGACTGTTGCGTACCGCGTGAGCCCACAAACTCCCAAGCTAGAAGGCGTATTGTGGCCTATTTTGTGCAGAGAAGCTTCGAAATTTCGGAGTGATCTTTTCTGGTTCGATTCTTGCATGATTTTGAATTGGTGGTATGTTAAATTGCTGGCGTTCTCTTTAATTGAGTCTTTTTTTAATTCTTTTGTTTATCTTTTTTATTTGCCTCTTTCGAAGGAGATTATGATTATAGTTTGCATAATGATGAGTTTAGCTCTAACAAATTGGCCTAATTCAATGAGTCATAGTAATTTGTTTTTCCCCCTTCTTGTCTCGAACTCGATAATCAAGTTCCAGAGCTCTTTGTCCGACTGAGAGAAACAGGGGCATGGGGTCTTCTCTTTTATCTGGCTAGGGTAAATGTAGATAGAGTTTAATAGGGGGATATCCACCTTATCATCTCCCTCAAGTGTAATTTCTCTCAATTGTGGTCACATGGGAGGGAGGACAGGAGGAAGACGTCCCCTCAAAGTCATAATCTCTTGCGCCTTCCGTCCCACAAAATGAGTCCGGTACAACTTTTACATTTTTAGTCAGTTACAATCATAATAAAACATGAAAAATGAGTTTGTTTTCATTGAGTAGGATTATTTTTATGCATAAACATATCAAGTTACTAGACTCTTTAACTCTTTTTATGGGACGGGAAGAAGTGTAAGTGATATTTCTTTCCATCAATTTCCTTTGCACCCCCAAACGTGCAACATTATAATCATTTATTACTCTCTCCCCTTATGTGCATTACTAAACATGGCCAAACCAAACAGGGCTTTATCATTTTTTGTTCCCTCCTTTATAAACATATTACTCCTTAAGAAGGTTGCGATATAAAAGACATCCACTGATGTAAAAAGTTGTCGCTATACTTTTGCATGAATGTATATTTGTGGCTGAATTTTACTCATTTCAAACAATTTCTTGGGGTTTTTAATTTCATGTAACCAGGCCAAGCTGGGATTAGAGTGCCATTATGATGGGGTGGATGGTCAGTATTCAACTACCCATCAATCTATGTGGCCTAGGAAAGTGTTTGATTTTTTGGCCACTTGCTTTCTATGAATAAGGCTGCAGTTCATTTGTGGCATACATTTTGTGAGTGGTAGGCGTGGGAGATGATTAATTCGTGTCTTGTTTAAGTGTGCATTATACACATGCTTGTTTTTTTCATCATTCAAAAAATGATTTTTTTCGAACTAATCTGCAGTTGTTGTTCTTATATTTACTAGCATGCCTACATCATTTTTTGGATTACATTATCTTCTCTAGTCTCTCTGGAGCTCTATTTGATGGTTTGACCATGAGAGTTTATTTTCAATAATTGAATATCATAAATATTTGGAATGATGATATATATGGTTGATCCTATGAAATGTCTTCATTTAATGCACCCTGTAACAAGTTGACAAGGCAAAGTTGAGGTCCAGATTTTTTGATTGCTTACCTTAAGTCAAACAAGTCTGACATGTTTGAGTACTCATTAATGATAAAAATTGACTGTGAGCTTTGGAAATATAGTTTCTTTGGAAACGTACTACTGAAGGAAATTTTTGACATCAATGAATATTCAATAAATGATAAAATTGACAGTGTGCTAATGTGCATTCACATTTACCTATATTATTTTATTTGTTTATGGGTGTTCATGATAAAAAAAATCCTTACCTTTTTATGTATACATTTACGAAATCTATATAACAACAACAAAACCCATCATAATCCCAACTTATTTGTTTCTAGGATTCAAGATGTATGCAATCTTAGGAGTGGGCCTGTGATGCCTTGATGCATTTATTGCTAATTTTAAGGAAGTACTCCTTCCATTCTATATTAATTGTCTTTTAAGATTTTTATGATACATTCAAAAATGAAAGAATGTAGACCTAGAATATGTCTACATTCATTCATTATTTAATTTATCTTGATAACTATAATGGACGATTAATATAGAATGGAATGAGTATGAAACAAAGGGGGTTTAATGTATGTCATTTTAATTTAGTCAATTATCTACATGAAGCTAAATCATTGTAAAAAGAAGTCTTTTAGCTCCATTGGCAAATGGAGCCGCAATTTTATGAAATTTACTCTAAAAAGCAACATTAATGGAGGGTGCATTTTAATGACCCTTCTAATTAAGTAATAAGGGTATTGAATAATTTGTCATCTCAATACATTTTCTATGAATGTATAATTTGGTAAAGTTAACTAAGAAGGGAGGGAGTATTTCACACTACCTCTATCATTCAATTAATTGATTTTTTTTATGATCTTCATTCAATTACATCTGAATTTCTCCTTTGAATCCATGGTCCAACTTTGACTTTTCATATCTACTGTGAAGAGATGACCATGTTAGATACAATCTGTTAAAATCTTCAGATCCTTTATTGGAAAGAATTGTATTTTTGAATACTTTTACCTGAATCCACTAGTTTCTCTATGTAGATTGTCTTATGTTTACTTTTGCATTCTTTGGTTCAGTGAGGGGAAGCTTTAAAACAGAAATGATGGAACACAAAAGAGGTCCCATCTCACTTGAACATAGTAGCATGGCATCTATAGCTCCTAAACGTCACAAGGCAGAAATGTCACTTTCTTCCAAGGTTGATTACTCTTCCTTTTTGCCCTGCAATGCTAGTTATTAATTAACAGCTAATCTCACTTTAAAAAAGTTTATGCATTTATTTTTTATGAATTTATTTTTGTATATATCTCTGTTTTTCTCTGTGTCTATGGGTGTTCATGCATAGTGGTAATCAACACAAGTTTTATTGCGTTTTAGCTTTACAAAGTCAGTGTGCCATCATGGTTTTAAATTTTTTTCGAACACACAATGGCAAGCTGAGAGCTATTAGTGGGTCATTAGGGGCTGTCATCTTAACAAGGTAGAAAGTAAACACGACGATACTTTGGGTTTTTCCAAGACCAAACATAATTTTTTTTTTCATTTCGGACCATGATAATCGATTCAAAGCCAAACCAAAATTAAATCCGAATTATATGAACGCACATTAAACTATATTATTACTCTAAGTGGGGATTAGGGAATGACTGGACTATAAATGAAATAAAGAATTACATTCTTTTATGGAGTGGTTTTTTTGCCCTCTAGCCTCTCTCTCTCTCTCTTTCTATCAACACAAGCACGGGCGCACATTCCCACACACACACAGTTGCACACATGCAACAAATGCATAAATACACACACAAACTCACTCTATGAGGAGCTTCGATGCTTAGAATGTATTTGTTCTCGAAGTATTTCAATAAATGGTTAAAATTTTCCATTTCTGAATTTATCTCGCCTTTTCTCTCTTCATCTCTATAATAAGAATTTTGTACCCCCCCCCCACCCAACAGGAAAAGAAAGAGAAATTTGGCGAGCGTATCGCAGCTCTGCAGCAGCTTGTGTCACCATTTGGAAAGGTGCCCTTCACTTGCCTTGCGTACTACCATTTAGTGTATATTGTTATCTTTGAGAGGAAGTATTTGTAAATTACACTTTGAGTTAAGAGGCCTATGCCTTTGTTTATCTTTTTTACACTGACAGACAGACACAGCCTCTGTTCTTTTTGAAGCAATGGGGTACATAAATTTCCTCCATGAACAGGTTAAGGTTTGTTACTATTCTTTCTTCTACTTCTACCACTCCTCATCCCTGCATTTCAGCTTCTCCATCATTTACCTCTTAACTGCGTAAGCTATATACACACCTACAAACCTCGCTTACTTTGTGCTTGTTTTTCTTTTTTAATGGTTTTAGGTGTTGAGTGCTCCTTATCTCCATTCTACGACAGCATCTAATATACAGGTTAGTATTAAACGGTACACCTAAGATATATTCCAATTCCTGCACGCTTTGATCTTCTGATGTACAAGACGCATATTAACTACTCCCTCCATTCCACAATAGCTGTCTTTTACACTATGTTTGGTTCAAGGAATTTGAAAGGGAAAAGAAAAGAAAATGAAGTGGAAAATCATTTTTCTTGTTTGGTTAAAGGGGAAAAGAAAGGAAAAGTGGAAGGAAAAGAAAATGAGGAGGCAAAATGTATCAAGTGGAGGGAAAATCAAATTCCTTCCATTTTGGTGAGGAAAATGAGAGAAAACCATTTTCTTTTCTTTTCCTTCCAAAATCCTTGAGCCAAACATAGTGTTAAGGTTTACTCCGTATTAGATACATTAGATTTTGAATGAATGTAGACATACTTAAGTCTACATTCATTCAAAATCTAATGTATCTAAAAAAAATTAATAGACAGTTATTGTGGAATGAAGGGAGTACCTATTATGGAGTATTTTTTTGGTTATGTTTGCATGTTACCCTATCATCTAGTCTAGTGTAAGATTTGGGTCAAATTGCAGTAAAATCCAAATCAGGTTGCATACTAGTAACAACTGAATCGATGATGATGTTTTCCCCTGTTTGTCCAAAGGAATCTCACCCGTACAGTTTGAGAGGTAAGGGCTTATGTCTTGTGCCTCTGTCCTACACCAACGGAGTTGCCAGTAGCAATGGTGCAGATATATGGGCCCCCGTTAAGTCGGTTCCAAAATGTTGAGCTACACCGCACTCTTCTTGCTAAGCATGTGAACCAAAGTAGCTATAAATAAAACTGCAGTACATTAACCCCGAGGCTGGCAGTGTTTTTGGGAAGCATTTAGTAGTTAGAGCCTATTACTTATTGTCCAGTTTTAACGCAAATGTAAATGCTCGATGAACATGGAGATGAATGATTGATATTGTCAGTACGCGCTTGCCCTTAATATTTGAATCCAAGCAGTCAGTATTGTATTCTATACAGCTTTTGAATATGTGAAAAGCTTTCCTTCATATATGCTTCCGGATGCACAACAACAACAAATTGAGTATAATCTTAACTCGTCAATGTAGGGGGATGGCAACGGGTCGGATTCGGTCGGGTTTGAGTATATTAAAACCTGACCTAACTTGGGTCGGGTTCGGGTTTGATTTTGGCGGGTCAGTTTCGGATATTTATTTTTTCGGTTCGAATTCGGTTTAAGATTCGGTCGGGTCGGTTACGGTCAATTTCGGGTTTGAATACTATTTAAAGTATTCATGAAAAATTTAAGATTGAAATGCATTAGAAATTAAAAATTTCAAAGATGATATAAAATTTAAGATATTATCAAAAAAAATTATGACCGAATAACCCTTAAAGATGTCAAACGGAAGTTGTCCGATCTCGTTAGGGGGACGTCAGACTAGAAATCCGCAACGCTTCGTCTTCCCGCGCATGTGGAACAAACAATATTAAGTTTCAATTAATAATATATGGAGTACATTTTTTTTAATCCCAGTGGCAAACTACCAAGTCTGGTGGGGTAAGGTCTAGGCAACCCTTACCGAGTTTTATTAAGATAGTAGGGAGCCACAAAGTGAGGGGAGGACTATACCAAGGCCTAACGCCAGCCCCTCATACGGAAGACAAATCTTTCGGGGATACAATAACAAATAAGGGGGTAAGGGAACCTAGAACGGCTTGACCAAGGCCACAATAAAGTCTAAACAACAAACAAGCTAACTAAGACTTGATCAAGGCCACAATAAGATCGAAACAAACAACATACTAGTCTAGGGCTTGACCAAAGCCACAATAAGGTCTAAAACATCAAACCAACACGACAATCCAAACTCACACCAGGCCAGCACGAGCATAACCACACTAAGACAATAAAGGCCATACGGAGAGGCATGGCAACACAAAGGAGTGGTAATCATCTCCAACGGGAGGAATAAAAACTCATCCGAGTCAACGGGAGGAATATATGGAGTACATTGAAAATAGCACATGTAGGACACACAATATTAAACCACAATAAAAAATGAAACATAAAAACCAATAAGTTTTAAAATATTAAAAATATGTGCATAAACAATACATGAAATACAGGAATTTAGAGTTATTTAAAATTTATTGAAAGTCGGGTATATGTCGGGTCGGTTCGGGTACAAGTCGGATCGGTCAAATATACTAACCCAAACCCAACCCGACAAAAGTCGGGTTCGATTTAATTTTTTTCGGGTCGGTTTCGGATATTTAATTTTTTGATTCGGATTCGGATATAATAAGCTCCGGTCAGGTCGGTAAAAGTTGGATTCGGATAGAATTGCCATCCCTACGTCAATGTGTACGCAATCTTACCCCTCTGAAACTAAAGAAGTTATTTCTGTTGGACTCTTTACGCGTTGGTTGCTGCATTTTCTTCTTGAAACTTCTTAGTAAGAGGCAAGGAAATTTTAATATGCAACTTTTATTTTGTTCATTACTCATTCGAAGCTAAAACCTTATCAAAAGTGATTCTTTTATCTGCATTTACAATTGACAGTTGAAGATGATATCTAGATTCATCAAATATGTTATTTTCATCAATAAAGTGTTTCTATCATGAACATATTAAAGTCTACTCAAAAAACAAAATCATGAATGTTTACACAATGCTTGAACTTTTTTAAATCAGCGAATAAATATATTTTTTCACAATATTATAAAAATGTTTATGTAGCACTTAAGAAGGGTCTTGAAGTTTAGACCGACCTTAGATCTAACTATGAATTTATCGTACTCAATGATTTTGACCAATGTTCTAAAAATTTGACAGTGCACCGACCCGAATGCATATCTGGATCAAGTGTTAACATATTGAATAGGTCAACTCAGGCTAACGTCCCAGCCACCTATTTTCAATCTAGTTTTCAATGTTATTGTTCATATGCTCTTTCATACTTTCTATTTTTTATTATAATTAATAGATATTTCTTGATCTTTCTAGATTATAAAGTATATTTACTTATAAATTATTTATTATTATATTTTACTGTATTTATTATTAAATGAAAGTAACAAATTAAATAGATACGAGTAGTGCTTATTGTTTACTTGAGTAACTCTTAAAATGGTCCTTTCTAATGAGGTATATTTCCAAATTAGTTCATAATAAATTTGAATTACCTACTTTGTAATTATTAATTGAGATTTATTCCCAAAGTAGTCGTTCGTAAAAAAACTACTTAAATGCTGATTAATTGGATGGGATTATGGTATTTCTATAATTTAAACATAAATTATATTCTCAAAATGGTCATTTCTATACAATTTCATGTAAAAATTATATAAAAATTATTGACAATAACATATTTTAAAATTTAAATCAAATACACCTCAATTAAAACAGACCATTTTGAAGAAACACTTCATTAGAAATGATATACTCCATATGACAACTTATTCTAAGTTTAAATGATGAAAAATACTAAAATGACTTCTACTTAATCGATATTTAAGTTATATTTTTTTAAGAAGGACTACATAGGGAATAAATCTCAATGATAAAGTACCATGTAGGTAATTAGAACGTATTGAAAATTAATTTGAGAAAATATCTCATTAGAAAACACCATTTTGTGAATTACTCGTTTTACTTTGAATTATTTTGAAGGTTTATAAAATAAATACATCGCACAAACATTTATTTAAGAAAATAGACTTTTTAGAAAAAGTTTACACAACCCAGATGTCATAGAGACTATATACTCAGCTGCACGACTTCATTAACAAGATTTTTAGAAGTATAGATAACTTTGAATGTTGAAGTATTATGCTTCTTGGGTTCGAATCCCTCTTTAGACATTATTTTGTAAATTTACAACTAAAAATAAGAAAGTTTTGGTCCAAACCGGTGGCTCGAACGGGTTGACTTGGTCTACCTGGTTTGCTCAGTTTGCCAAGATAATATGTTTCAATATAAAATGGGGTTTACACAGTTGTAAATTTACAACTAAAAATAAGAAAGTTTTGGTCCAAACCGGTGGCTCGAACGGGTTGACTTGGTCTACCTGGTTTGCTCGGTTTGCCAAGATAAAATGTTCAATATAAAATGGGGTTTACACAGTTGTAAATTTACAACTAAAAATAAGAAAGTTTTGATCCAAATTGGTGGCTCAAACGGGTTGACTCAGTCTACCAGGTCTGCTCGGTTTGCCAAGATGAAATGTTTTAGTGTAAAACGGGCTTTAAACATTTTATTTTGTAAAATTGTTTACCCCCGTACTCTTTAGAAATTGCATGCTTTACCCCTAAATTTTAAAAACTGCACCGATTACCCTCAACAAATTAAAACGTTGCATCGTTGGTCCTAAACTATTAGATAGGGAGTGCGTTACTTCCACACACAAGAATTGCGAATATGATTCATATAGCCCTTGTAAATTCTCCAAAGTACCTTTACCAAAAATTGTCGTCTTTATTTAAATATTCAAGAGTAAACAATACAATTTTCGAAGAGTTTGAGGGTAATTTTTATTGTTCAGGGGTAAACCGTGCAATTTCTGAAGAATTCAAGAGTATTTGGTGCACTTTTTAAAGTTCAGGGGTAAACCATGCAATTTTCAAAGAATTCGGGGGTAAATGATGCACTTTGCTCTTTTGTAAATAGACAACAGAAAATAAAAAATAAAAAAATTTGGTCCAAACTCGTGGCCCAGGAGGATTGACTTGCTCTACTACGCTTGCCAGGATGAAGTCTTTCCATGTAAAACAGGGTTTACATATTGAATCAGAGTGCTGGTCGGACTGGTCGTCCAGTCTGGCCTTTTAACATTGGTTTTGACATGTAATGAGTACTTTTGTTTATTTAGTAGGAGTTAGCACATATCGAACCGATCTTGAAATTTCCTAAAAAAATCGAGATTACCACAACGGAAACTACCAAACTGAGCCGAATGCTCGGTCCTATATTTGGGATCGATACGAGGTAACTTTCAATGCCGAAAAAATTCAAAGGAAACATATTGTAACACCCCAAAACATGACCTAAAGTTATTTTATGATAAAAGTATTCTTAAAACTTTATTTTGACCCAACAAAGTATTATATCTATGTTTGACCAAAAATGAAGAAACTTTTCAAATTAAGGATCTTTTGCTAGAACTGAATTTTATGGATAGATCTCGAAGGGACGAATCCAACGATATGTTTTATGAACAAATCTGACGTATAGATTTTGAGCTATGACATTTTAAAATATGAAACTTGTATTGAGAAGTGATTAAAGATGTGAAATTTTGTAAAACGCTTTAATTGAAATAAATCATTATCTTCAATAATATTGATTAAATATGAGGGTATTTTAATTATATGTCAATTAAATCAATTTTGACTCTTTCAAAGTTAAACACTCAAAAAATAGGATGTCAGATAAAGTATTTCAGAAAAATGTGAAAATATGTTGTTGCTTAGACAACTGTAAGGGTACAATCTGAATTTAATTTGGAGAAAATTGGACAAAAAAGTATACCCTGATTAGGACAATTTTAGCCCCAAACAGAGAGGCGTGTGAAATCACCTCAAATCCCACCCAGTCGCTGCAAATCGTAGAAATAGGGATTTGAAGAGGATTTTCATTTGGCTTCATCCTCTTCATCCCATCTATATAAGGAGTGCAATTCCTCCTTTAATTCTCCACTAAATTTGTAACACCTCACCTTGGATGACCCGAGTCATCCAGACCGGAACACTAGCAAAACCAAGTTTACTTTGTAAAACATTTATTTATTTAGAATTAGTTCTCATTTTAATAATTAAAGAATTTAATGATTATTATTTGAAAAAAAAACTTAACATAAGAACATTTGAGAGTAAATAAAACTTAGAGTCCCAGCCCAAACAAACTTAAAGTAAGTTCAATAATTAATTCATTATAAAAAAATTAATACAGATTTCTTTTATTGGCACGATCTCCACGTCTA